TGCACCAAGTGCTCACACACACAACACACACACACACACACACACACACACAACTCAATTTATAATTAATTTACAGACTTTAACCATGTATGTATCCGACTCATGCCCATTTTCCAATTTTGAGCTTATGAGCCTATTACAATTATATAAATTTAATACATATTTTACTTGACTTATTAATTGTACAGAGCCAGCCCTTAAATAGGCAAATCTTACAGTTGACAAAAGCTTTGTTAAATATATTTCGAATTTTATATGGCAACTAAGGATAAGAGTGAGCTGTAAACATCTTACTAGAACTGGTATCTTGAGGCAAATTGTGAATCAATCGTTTCAATGAGAGCTTTTCTATTTTCATCGAAATACTTGACATATCTTGGATAGTAAAGTGAATGAATGATGCTGGAATTTAGCAAAACCTTAACTTAGTATTCCCAAAAGCAAGTTTCGAATTAATTTCAACTATTAACAATGCCAATAGTGCAACTATTTTCCCTTCTGCACATGCTGCTCCAACATCTATTTAAACTATACATAAAATACCATAAGTGAATTCGCCACTTATCTCTGGGTATTTAAGGGTACTTAATGTCTGCTTACAGAGTGTTTGGCTAGTCGAGAACCCTCAAATTATTATTATGCAGCATACACTTGGTTTGGTTGCCTGTCTGGCTGGCTGGCTGGCTGGCTGGCTGGCTGGCAGGCAGGCCCTAAAGCATCATTTGAATTTTAGATATGATTGTGACCAGGTCGACCAGTCAGTCGATAATGTGCTGTTGCCAATTTTGGACATTTGCCACATGCCACATGCCGCCCGCCTCATATTCGTTACAACATGCTTTATGCTGCTTGCTACATGCTACATGCCACAATTGTACGTACGGCATGAACGGTGGCCTGGTGGTCCTCGCAAATTTCGCAATTGATTTAATTGTGAATGTATTTATTAAATAAATTATTCATGTTCCGCTCGATTGCAATCCTTGTGAATGTGCTGTGGCTGACCTAAACATGTCCTGCCCGGCGGATGTGCAGGGGATGGGTTGATTCAGCATCGCCGTTTGCCACTGTAATTAGTTGTGGTGAAATAATCGCCAGCAACCGGCGACTGCCAGCAATCGCCATCCTGCGTCCTGACACAAAGGAATTTCACTGCTGGTAACTATTATTTAAATGTGTGTACGGCAATGATGGGGATTGGAATGGTGATGCTGCTGCTGCTGCTGCTGGTGGTGGTGATGGTGGTTGTGTTGGTCAAGTGGCACGTTGTGCTTGTGTGCTTGGGTAAATGTGATAGTCTGGCGGTTCTTCCGTCAATCTGTCTCACTGTCGGTTGGTTAGTCGGTTGCATGGTTGTATGGTTGGTTGGTTGGCTGGTTGGTTTGTTGGCTCCTGCTTGCATTCTGGCCATTTCGAGTGGTGACATTTTAATTTACCCATGCAACAAAAACACATTTTCCAGCATCGAACCGATAATAACAACAACAACGACAACAACAACAACAACAACAACAACAATATCAAACAGCAACCGAATTAACAGAACAGAGAATTGAGTGTGCCTAATTTATTCAAACTTTATTTATTGGCAGTTATGATTTGTTTTATGCGGTATCTGCATATATGCGGCCATCTAATTGACTTTGCACAAATTGCATTTGCACATGGTCATATTAACCGACAAAGACAGAGAGAGAAAGATAAATAGATAGAGATGAGCATAGATGAATAATTAATATACAAGCCACATCAGCGAATGAAATCAGCAATAAAATAATCAATAATCTTAAGCTGAACTTCGCAACGTGCGAAAGATTAGCCAGCAATATTCAATCCTGCAGTCGAAAGTAAAATTATAAATATAAATATAAATTTGCACCTGCTAAACTGACTAAGCTCAAGACTAAACCGATTTAATGATTAGATATATATTTAAGCGGATAACGCATTTTTACCAGTATCAAATATAATTTCACAAATAGTTTCTACTATTTGCTTTTTTAACTATTCATATTGAATAGATTTGAATTGCTGAATTTTCATATATAAAAGCAAAAAATGTGAAACTTATTTGGTATTATAGCTCGCATAAAAAATGTATTTTGTTTACGCTTTTAACAACTCAAACTCAATGTCAACTGAAAATCAAAATGATTGCAAAAATGTCGTAAAAAATTGTGCATTTGATTCCATTCAAACATTTGGAATGCCAAAGCGCTTATATAGACTGCAAATAAAAAAGAATCGAAAGGACTCGAAATCTAACTGACAAAACTGTGTGCAAAACATGATTGGAATGTAGCCTTTAAGAGTTCAGAGTCGAAACTGAGTCTGAAAATGAAACGAGTTCGAGTTCGAGTTCGAGAGAGTTTCTGGTCCGCACTCTCGTATTGGTGTTCTGATTAAATTCGGCAAATATCGCTGATGCTTGCAAATCGCCGCTGAATGCAGCAGCAAAACTCGAGCAGTGAACAGCTGAGGGGGCGGGACGGGACGGGGGAGTGGTGGACACTGTTGGTGATGCAATAACGGTAGCGTACAAACACAACCGAATGCAAACAAACAGGCATTTCATGGCAAACAAGAGCGCCAAGAGCAGAGCAGAGCAGAGCAGAGCAGAGAATCTCTATAGGCGCCCATCCATCCATACACCCCTTAAACCCTTTAAACCCCATAAACCCCATAAACCCAACCCAATATTCAGATAGCATCCGAGTTTTCCCGGTACCAGGTCGACCCATACGCAGTTAGGCAAACTGGCAAATACGTTGGCGGAGGGCGCCTTTTGTTTGGCTTTGTGAACCACCCCCTCAAAATCGAGGGAGTGGCGATCGGGAGTCGCCTTTGCAGTCGTTGGCGTTTTATTGTTGTCGAGAGTTGTTGTGCTTTGCTGTTGTAGCTGTTGTAGCTGTTGCTGCAGCAGTTTCGAGCATTATTTCGGTTTAGTTTGGTAAATACACATGCAGCGCATGCACAGCCCCTAAAATTTGCCTATATATGCAGCCGGTCGTCTCCCCTCCAGCGTGTGGACTAGCAACCAATCCAGCTAGCAGGCTTAGGCAACAACTGCTCTTGCTCCGTCGCCCCTCCTCCACCTCTTGCATCAGCAGCAACAGCAGCATTTTGGGGCAGACAGCCCCCTACGCCCTGCTCCCCTGCCCCTCTTTCGGAATGCTTGGCTGCATTTTGCGAGGCACGCACCATAAAAATGCTTGAATGCATTTCGTGCATTTAATGAAAACGTTTTGTGCGAACTCCTCGCATTGTGCATGTCCAACTCAAAATGGGATGTTTCCCTAAACAAAAACGAGTTGAATGCAAAAATCCTGTGAATCTAACCTATTTGTTCCTTTCAAGGAATACTTTCAAGAAACAATTATAAAGCAAGAAATAAATAAAATGCACAAGAAGAACATTTAAATAAATACATCAAAAATCCTGCAAAAAAAATATACTAAATTTTCAAATTTATAAAATAAAAAATGCATTAAATGCGAAAATATAGTTAACAAAAGAATTGCAATTAAATCGGGGAACAACAAACAAGTGAAACATTTACGGATACAATTTAAGGCACAAGTGCAATCAATACTCGTCTAGGTTACCGTTACCAGAGTGCTTGCCTCAAAAAAAAACTCAAAAGGCTCTGAAATGCAGATGACAATTCGATTTCGAATAGCGATGCAGCCGATGATGATGATTATGATCCGGATGATGATGATGATGATGAGGATGAGGCCGATGATGATGGCGCTGCTCTTGGCGATAGACTTAAATCCGTAGTTGCCGTCGTGTTGCACACAAAAGAACACAAGCAAATGATTTTCGTTGTCGTCGAGCACTAAATGTGAGTGAGAGACGAGGTAGAGCAGTGAGCACCTGTTGTTGTTGTTGCTGCTGCTGCTGCTGCTGCTGCTGCTGCAGCTGACCTGAAAGGGGCGGAGCAACTGGGCGTGGCTGTCATATCTGAAAGCAATTTGGCCCCCAATGCGAACAGAAACGAGAAACAGGAATCGATAAACTCGTTGGGCGTGCAATTTGCGCCGTGAGCCGAGAAGCCCTCAAAAGGAACACAAGCCACGTGGGCACTGAATACTGGACATGAGTTAAAATTGTTTGGATGGGATTGAATTGGGATAGGGTGTGGGATAGGGATAGGGATAGGGACAGGGATAGGGATAGGGATAGGGATAGGGATAGGGATAGGGATAGGGATAGGGATAGGGATAGGGATAGGGATAGGGATAGGGATAGGGATAGGGATAGGGATAGGGATAGGGATAGCTGCCATATTCATACCGAAGCTGCAAGTCTTTCCATTTACATTTTTCGTATCGCGATGGTCGAAAGTTCCCGGTATCGTTCCGTATCAAATGCAACGAGGCGTATGCGCAATTTTTGTAGCCCATTTCCCCCGTCCTCCCCCAAAAACCACTCAGCGACATCAATCAGTTATTAGCACAGGAAATCCGCACGCTGCCCGCAAACGTTCCTCGGTTAGGCTCTCATTCCCCATTTCTCTCTACCCTCTCTCCCCTCTCTCTCTCTCTCTGTCCCTCTTGTTATAGCAACCCTCAGGTTATTAAAGAGTGCTTCATAATATACTTCAATATATGCAAATTTGTAAGCCGTATTCCGTTTCATAATTGAAATTGAAATTCATTCGGGACTATTCCCAAAAGTGTATAAGCATAAGAATGAATATGCTTGAATCAAATACAAATAGATGCAGTTGAGTATCCCAAATGAGTGAAAAACATTCATTTTTGATTGAAGTAATTTGAGTATTATTTTAAAATAAAATTAAGAACTTGTGTAAATTGAAATCAGAAATGCATCAAAATGCCTGAATTTGACTTAAGAATCCAACTGGATAAATCATATTTGGGGAGTCTAAGAAAACTCAGAAATTCGGAATTGTTTACTTTGTGTTACAAATCAAATAAATAAAAAACAGAAAACTCAAATTAAACTTTTTCATACGTGATTTCCAATTGCAGTGCCGCCGAAGGCTGGACAGAAGCGACCGGCCACCAGTCCGGCTCCCCACATACCCGTGCCACTTCATTTGCAAACGCCGTCAAATTCAGCTTCAGTTGCCAATAGTCCAGCGCCGCCCAATGCGAGCAGCGGACTGCTAAATCACGCCCTGCCCACCAACCATATTGGCGGCCAGTCGCCTCAGCAGCAGCAGCAACAGCAGCAACAACAGCAACAACAGCAACAGCAGCAGCAGCAACAGCAGCAACATCAGGCGCATCAACAGGCCGTCGCTGCTGCAGTGCAACAGCAGCTGGCAGGCGTTGGAGTTGGTGTCGGAGTTCCACCCGGTGCTATCAATGCAGCATCGGCGGCCAGTGCTCGTGGCTCATTTGCCGCCGCATTGCGCACGCTGGCCAAGCAGGCGGACATCAAGGAAGAGGACGATGCGGTTCAAGTGGCCCGGGAGCGAAATGTGCCCACTTCAGTTGCCCAGACGCAGCCCAATAGCGGACCCGTACCCGTGTCCCTCAATTCGGTAGCTGGACGTGTTGCCTCCGGTGGCGTTGCTTGCGAGGATCGCACCGTTAGCAATAAGAAACGAACGGTACCTTCGCCACAGCCACCCGAAAAGATGGCCAGGCTTAGTCATACGCCACAGGCGCCATCACTGCAACCGGAGCTGCTTGCCCGCAGTGGCTTCCAGCCGTACAGATCCGATGAGCGACTAATGCATCCGGCGGGTGCCTTCCCCCTCGAGGCCTACTCACATTTTGCCAGCCTGCAAGGCCTTCCTCCAGCAGGTGAGCACTTGAAAGTACCACAAAAGTGAACCACTCAAGTTTCATTTATAAATCCATATGCACATGGTTAGTTCAACTCTAAACGGTTCCCCCTCTCTCTCTCTCTCTTTCGTTCGACAGCATTTCTGAATCCGGCGGCAGTACCGTACTCAGATCCGCTATACTTGGAGCATCGCTATCAGTTGTTCCGTGCCGCTGGCGGTCATCATACACACCCACATGCGGCGGCACTCTATCCACAGATGGCATCACCCTACTCCCATCTGTACTCGATGATGCCCGGGGCGGCGTTGGGTATCTCGCCGGCGATGCACGATCGCATGAAGCTGGAGGAGGAGCATCGGGCGCGAGTGGCGCGCGAGGAGGAGCGCGAACGTGAAATGCAGCGCGAAAAGGAGCGCGAGTTGCGCGAGCAGCGTGAAAAGGAGCAGCGCGAGCGGGAGCGCGAGCAGCGCGAACGCGAACGTGAGCAACGCGAAAAAGAGCAGCGCGAAAAGGAGCAAAAGGAGAAGGAGGCACGCGAGCGCAAGATGCGCGAGGAGGAGCGCGAGGCGAGGGAGCGGGAACGCCAGCAGCTGCTCAATGCGACGCATCACTATTCGAACCAGTTGTACGCGCCACTGAATCGCAACCTGCTCGGCTCCATGATGCCGCACATTAATCTCGGGCTGCGCGGTCCACCCGGTGGACTTCACAGTCTGGCCGGTATGTCACACTATCATGCAGCGGCAGCGAATGCCCAGCGCCAGAGCCCGATGGGCCTCAATCTGGGCATGCCGGGTATGCAGTCGCTGCCGCATCATCTGCAGCAGGCAGCAATGGGCTTGGCTGCTCATCCTGGTGCAGCGGGTCTAACGCATCCCGGTTTCTCAGCCGCCGCTGCGTTGGGCTTGAGTCCGCATCCGCACAGTCTCAATTTGAGTCATGCTCATCTGTCGCCACATCATCCGGTGCATCAATTGCCGCCACACACTGTTGCCGCCTCCTCGGCGGGTCCCAGTCCCGTTAGCACTGCTGCTGTTAGCTCCTCATCGCCGCACAGCAGCCTTAATCTAACAGTCGCCACCAGCAGCATGGCCCAGACGACGCCGACGCAAAGCTCGCACATTCCGACCATGAGCCACTACTACCATCATGGCCATTTGGCGGCAATGCACGCAGCGGCTGCAGCTAGCGGCTTAACGCCCGTCGCCGCCCATCAGCAGCCGATAAGCGCTGCCGCGCATCCCACATCCCCGAAGATTACCCCGCCACTTGGCTCGGCGCCCAATGGTGGATCACGCACAGCCAGCAGTCCACATGCCATGCGGCATCACATTGCCGCCGCCGTCGCCGCCGCCGCACAACAACAACAACAACAACAGCAACAGCAGCAACAGCAGCAGCAGCAGCAGCAACAACAGCAATCGGTTCAATTGCTAGAGAAGAGCAACGCGGCCCCGACACCGATCACCCACGAGCCGACGACGCTGGATCTGACCGGTTCCAATTCGAACTCGAGCCAGCAGGCGCAGTCGAGTGCCAGCAATAGCACCTCTGTTGCCCATGAGCTCAATGGCATCGAGTCCAATGGACCCACAGATAGCAACAAGGAAGCCACACAGCAGACGATCCTCAAGGAGGAGAGTGCCACGTCCCCGGTGCAGCTCGAAAAGAAGCCAGCAACGCCAAATGCTGCTGAGAAGACCCTACTCCCCGATAGCTCGCCGGAGAACACATCCCGTCGGAGCGCCAGTCCACCCATCTCCGACAACAACAACAGCAGCACCAATGCCAACAACATCATCAACATCAACAACAACAACAATTCAAACAGCACTGCAACAGGAGCTGGTGTGGCACAAGGTAATAGCAAAGCAGAATCACCCTGTTTAAAGATGCTAGCTGCCGACAAGCAGGAGCAGCCGGAGCAAGTGGAACGAGTCAGGCTATCGCCGGATACGGCTTGCGGGTCCGCATCTGGAACGGGTGGCAGCGCCGTCACCTCAACCACAAGTGGCAGCAACACGCCACCGGTGGTCAGCAGCAGCACCAGCAGCAGTGGCAATGTTGCAACAGCAGCTACCACTGCTGCTGCTGATGTTGCTGCTTCTGCTTCTGCTAAAACTGATGAAGTGACCACAAGTGCCACTCCCATTGCCGAGGCATCCAGATGATCCTCGATGACAATACAAAGAAACAGCAGTGTCTTCATTACATATTCGTAGTAAACAAATACACATTACTAGAATTGCGATCACCTCATCAGTTTTTGCAGAAGATGAAGCAGACGAAGAAGGAGAAGCAGAAGTGGCAACATCACCAGCAGCAATAGTAATGTTGCAACAGCAACTACCACTGCTGATGCTGCTGATTTAGCTACTTCTCCTTCTCCATCTCCATCTGCTTCATCTTCTGCCACAACTGATGAGGTGACCACAAGTGCCACTCCCATTGCCGAGGCATCTAGATGATCCTCGATGACAATATAAAGAAACAGCAGTGTCTTCATTACATATTCGTAGTAAACAAATACACATTACTAGAATTGTGGAAAGTAGTTCGTAATTCGCGTGAGATCGAAACTAGTTCACATCTACCTTCAACTTAGCCGTTAATCCAAAATGCCTATTTATAAAAAAGATAAATATATATATATATGTATATATATATACATATAGACACATCTGTATACTACAATAATTTGTAACGTATTGCATCATCGCCTCATCGCCTAAGGAAGACACAGATTCTAGCGTGTGTTTATCAAATATAAATATACATATTATTAATATTATAATTATTATTACATATTACATTATTGCCTAATTATTATTTCTCTTTATTTAATTGTCAAATGTTTGCTATAGAGTTGTCCAAATAAATCCTTTTGTTTATAATTCCATTTTAGTTTTCATTTGTTTTGTCCTGTCAAAAATCCTATTTCGTTTTCAGATTGGCAACTTGGAGAACTTTATAACACGTACAATTTTTCAACTAGAGTATTTTAATTGCTAAATCAGTTAATATTTCAGAACATTGCAGTGTATATAAAAGGGAAAAATAACTTGATAACTTTGATGATCTTATAAATATTGAAGGAATTCATCATTTTTGATATTTTCAAAAGGGTTAGACTTGCCCATTACATTATTATTTTTGCACACAACTGGCCTGGACATATTTTGAATAATTGCCAAGCATAACTAATAAGAACAATAAAAATATAAACTTAAAGAATCATTATTTATTTTCATAAAAACTCTCGATTTGTTTTAGAGGACAACAAAAGTGCGGTTGGTCAACTTGGTCGCAGCAATAATGTTGAGGAGGCAACAGCCTTATGACACCAACTCTTCAGCAACACGAACAACTAACTAATGAAAAACTTTGGCGATATTGGGATGTATCTACTATCGGAACGGGCGCTCCATCAGCAGCGCAAGCGGATGCTCGACGAGTTTCTAAAGCTTTAGGGCCAATTAGCAAAAAAGCAGCAATATGAATCGCCGCCATAAAAAAGTACTACTTAATAAAAAGAAAAATAAAAAAAATAAAAAAAAAACATAACTACTATGTAAATCCCCTTTAGCAGATATCAGATATTTGTTCGTTCTCGGTGTTACAATCTAACGTTTACCCAAAGTTGAAGTCGAATGCATGCATGCAGTTCGAATTTCGTCTAATTGGTCAACTAGAATTACATAAAATGTATAAATATAAATATATATATTAATATAAATATAAATATAAATATTGTGAGACACTCAAATTACTGAAATTAGAAAAGCATTAAAACAATAAGAATTTTACGGGGCATGTACTTACTTTGACAATGTAATTCAAAGAACTCTCAATGTAGTTGCATGCATATATGAAAAAATCGGTTAAATGTAAATTTTAGATTTAAAAAACAAAACATAAAAAACTTAAGAAACAAAGCGCGTAAGAAATTTATATATACAAAATGAAAGAAACCAGCAAAAAAAAAACAAAAAACAAAAAACAAAAAAAAACATTCAAACTGAATAGTTATATTTTATTCTTAAATTGCTAATAATTGTGATTTGGAGAGTACGAAACAAAAGAGTAAAGAGATGATGATGTATTATGTAAATTGAACTCAAATACATGGTGGATAAAACGGAACTGAAATTTAGGTAAAACAAAAAACAAATCAAAAAAACAAAAAAATGAAACAAAAATTGATAATCTGGAATGGATTAGCTAAATCGCGAAAGGCTTAAAATTATTTTTCGAAATTGTCGAAATTTTTTGTACATTTATGTGAGCAACTTTTGGCCCTTATAAACTAGTTTCTATTTTTATTTTGAGTTTTTATACAAGTTTTATAGTATTTGAAATAAAAATCGATGCAGATGCACAGACTACGCAAATAATAATTTAGCAAATATTCAATGAAAACTAACTAACAAAACCCTAAATATACCCAAACAATTGTATTGTAACTAAGCTCATCATTGTCATTATTATTCATTTTGATACTTAATTGATGCATACATATATTAAGTAGCTAAAAATACCATACGTCACTCAGTCCTAGTTATTTCTGGTTTTCACAATTTTTAGTTTACACTTATCATCACAAATCGCACCCAAACGTTCTTATGTTTGAGATTGCCTAAAATCAAGATTTCATTTATTTTTCATGCATAAAAATCTCGAGCAATCTGTGATATTATAAAAAACCAAAAACAAAAAAAAAAAAACAAGAAAAAAGAGAACTCAACAAATTAAGCTAAACATTTTGAACGCTAATATCTACAAATAAAAATAGAACTCATCGTCATCGTACCGATCATGCTGGATTATGAGACTTTATAAATACGTGCAAAACATTTTCCGAACACATTTCCATGCCAATTCAGACATATGCAACTCCATGTTTTTCTTTCCTTATAAAAAAAAAACTAAAAATAAAATACAAATTAGATGTGGGTATGTAAGTATCAGTTAAACTGAACGTTAATATATTTTTACCAATAACACTAGTTTACAACATTTCCAATCTAGAGCATCTCTGATAATTGTTTCGTTGCCGAAACGGGAAAATCGAAACGACACAACTAAATACACAATTTATTATTTTTTTCTGAATTACACAATATAGAAATATACATATATACACACAAGTTCCATTTAGTTTTGGGCAAAACACCTTTATTTAATATAAATAATTATTTATTTACGTTAATATTTGAACAGAATTTGAAATTGATTTCTGTAAATCACACGAGATATTTGACAAAAGAAACAACTATCAGAGAGTTTGGAGCATAAGCGTATTTTCCGGATTTTGTAAACTAGTGTAATCGTAATAGTTCTTGGATATATTACATACGGATATTAATTGGTGCGCATACATACATACAAATATATGTAAACTTAATCCACAAAATGCGAATGCTAATAAATAATGCATAATAGTTTCAAATACAAACCTTAACAAAATACATAAATTAAACGTATTTCTCCCTCAATCTTCGTTGTGTGTGTAAAACAGAATACAAAGTGTAAAACATAATTTTTAAGCTAACAAACAAACAAACAAACAAGCAAATTCAATTAGAGATCATTGAGCAGCATATTTTGAGCAAACAGTAACCGTAACTGACGTTGAGCGTATGATTATAACAATAACATGCAACAAACACATCAAATAAATAACAACAAACATTATGTCATACTCGTACATGTGGCATGCAACACGAGCGTGACACATGCAACAAATTATAAACAATCTTGTGCAACTTTACTTAAGGCATTTATGATTTTATTGAATAAACTGTACGTAAGAGATTAAAAACTAACCTCGACTTTTGTTTGCATTTCAACTAAACGGCAAATCCCATCGAATATTTTTGTAAAATCGAAAATACAAATCTTTATTTTTCGCAGTACTATGAAAACTAGCGAAAACAGGGCAAATTGCACGTATTTTATTCGAACAATGTTTAGAAATATGTGTGACTACAAATCTAGGTAACAAGGATGTTATTATGCCCGTAAGCTATCCTCCTTCTTTACGTACTTAAGTATCCTTAAGATGGTCGACGGCGTCACACCCTGAATACGACTGGCGGCGGCAATTGTTTGCGGTTGTATAAGCGTGACTTTCTGGCGCTCCTCATTGGACAGGCTGAGTGATTTGGAGAAGTAGTCAATGTCCGTGGGTATGCAGAGACGCTCCTCTCGCCGCACATCCTCCACATCACGTTGCTGCTCATCGACAAAGAACGAATAAAGTGCCTCGATTTTCAGTCGGGCAGAAATGTCGCCATCCGTACGCAGCCAGCTCAGCTCGCCGGGACATAAGTCAATCAGTTGATCCACTGTTATATTGTCAGCTGGCACGGCAAGCATATCGAAGGCCGATTTCTGTATGGAAGCCTTGGTCTGTGGCAGACCCAGTGCCTGACGAAAGAAATTGCTGTGCTTCTGCAGACCCTTCAGCGACTTAATGCCGGCTTTGAGTTTCTGCTCCGTCTGCTGGAAATGCTGATAGCGCTTCTCACTGACCAGCCCAAACTTGTAGCCCTTCTCAGTGAGTCGCATGTCGGCGTTATCCGGCCGCAAAGATAACCGGAACTCGGCTCGACTCGTGAACATGCGATAGGGTTCATTGGTGCCCAGCGAGGTGAGATCATCGATTAAGACACCAATGTAGCCCTCTGTGCGGCTTATGCTCAGCTGTTGGCCATTCTGGCTTAGAGTTTTGCCCGCAGCATTAGCTCCAGCTATAATACCTTGGGCAGCAGCCTCTTCGTAGCCTGTGGTGCCATTTATTTGACCGGCAAAGAACAAGCCCGACACTCGTTTCGTCTCCAGGGTGGGATACAGCTCGCGAGGATCTATAAAATCGTATTCAACACCATAGCCAGGCTGCACCACCTCAGCACTCTCCAATCCCTTGATAGCGCGCACCAATTCCACCTGCTGGGCATGGGGAAGGGTGCACGAGATGCCCTGTGGATAACACAGAGGGCTATCGAAGCCCTCGGGCTCTAGCCAAACCTGATGAACCCTGGCACCAAAGCGCAACACCTTCGACTCTATTGATGGACAGTAGCGCGGACCTGTCACCTCCTCCGTGACGTGGCGATTCTGGTGCATATTCTCACGCACAATCTCATCTACTCGAGGCGTTGTGTAGGTCAGGTAACAAGGCATCTGCTCCGAGGCTGGCAGCCACACCTCATCATTTAGGAACGAGAACGGTACGGGCGGATCATCAGCCGCGTGCTTCTCCAGCTGTGTGAAGTCTATGCTACTCCTTGCAATCCGAGGCGGTGTTCCAGTCTTTAGGCGTCCCATGCGAAAGTTTAGTCGGTTTAGTGCCTCGCCGAGCGCCTTGGCCGGCTTGTCACCCATTCGCCCCGCCTCCCGCACTTCCAGCCCAATGTTGATGTGCGCCCGCAGAAATGTGCCCGTGGTGAGGACTACAGCACGACTGCGTACTAGTTCTCCATTCTCTAGAAGCACCCCACTGCATCGTGTGTTGCTACTACTACTCTCATCCACATCGATTTGTAAGTTGTCGACGCCTGCCGCTCGGATCTCTAGATTTGCTGTGTTGAACAACTCCCGTTGCACCGCCCGCTTGTAAAGCTGGCGATCGATTTGGGCTCTGGGTCCCCAAACAGCTGGACCACGTCGCTTATTCAACACCTTGTAGTGGACACCAGACACATCGCAGCAGCGGGCGCAAACACCATCGAGGGCATCCACTTCGCGCATTAGATGTCCCTTGCCGATGCCACCAAACGATGGATTGCACGACATCTCACCGATTGTGTCCAGTTTATGGGTGAGCAACAACGTGCGAGCGCCCATCCGTGCAGCAGCTGCACAGGCCTCAGTGCCGGCATGCCCGCCGCCTATGACAATCACATCGTAGATATCTCTATTAGCTTGGGTGCAATTGAATCGCCTTGTGGCCAGGCCACGAATCGCAATATGCCGCAGTTGCTGCATTTAACGGTTAGATATTGAATAAAATTACCCAACGAACAGATGTGAACTATTCCCCGGTGTTCTTTTGGCTAGTTCTTTGTTCTCGTTGGAATCGGTGCAATTTTAACAAGTATATAAAGTTCCCTCCAATTTTATTTCCGATTTCAACTCTTCAATAGCTCTTTATTTTTTGTAGCGCTTTTATTTTATAAAATATCTATTTTTTGAATTGAAATTATAAAATATTATATATATATTACGATCCACTTAATTAACAGAACCGGCATTTTAGTTGGTATTTTCTTTTATTGTAATCGTTGCCCCACACTGTTACCGGTAAATTTAAGAACAGTACTCAGTAGCAAAAATACTCGATACCAGGGCGATTTTGTCAACAGCTGATGGGAGTATTTTAGTTTTGTTTGTTTGTTTGTTTGTGGAAATGTGGGTTGTTTACGCATTGGTGTTGCATTTACTGCTGCTGGGATCCATATTTGTGATATACTTTCGGTCACCAGTCATTGAAGGTCTGCAACCACAGGCAGCATTGAATGTAGAGCCACCAGCTAATCGCCTTGTGCTGATTGTCACTGATGGATTGCGGGCTGAGTCATTCTTCGCTGAGAATTGCGGCAATGTGCCGCACTTGCGCAAGATATTCATGCGGGAAGGCATTGTTGGCATATCGCGCACCCGCGTGCCGACAGAATCGCGGCCCGGCCACATAGCATTGATAGCCGGACTGTACGAGGATCCGTCAGCAGTGACACGCGGCTGGAAGGAGAATCCGATTGAATTCGATACGGTATTCAATCGCAGCGAGCAAACGTACGCCTGGGGTGCCCACGATGTCCTCCATATATTCGAGAAGCTTGCCGATAGCGGCCGGCCCATGTATTTCGATGCCTATAATCACGATTTGGATTTTTCCGGTCAGCACAAGACTTACAAGCAGGATGAGTGGGTATTTGACAGGGTTCGCTTGCTGCTGAACCGAAAACGGGAGGAGCTGCGCAACGCCAAGAAGATTGTGTTCTTCCTACATCTGCTCGGTCTCGATACCGCTGGGCATGTCCACAAGCCAGGCACGCCTCTATTCCTGGAGAATTTGAAGTTTACGGAAGAGGAAATCTATAAGATTTATCAGAGATTTGAGGAGACATTTCCCGATAACCGAACTGCCTATTTGCTGACCTCAGATCACGGCATGACGGACTCGGGTAAGTTAACAACTCAATTGATAGAATAGAAATATATTTGACTTATTATTGCAGGATCTCATGGTGCTGGCGCTGCTTATGAAACTGACACACCCTTCATGCTCTGGGGTGCTGGTGTCGCTCGTAGTGCCAACACCGGCATCACATTTACGGCCAACGCTGAAGGCTTGGAGTTGCCGCTGCGCGAACTGGAACAGGCACAGCTAACGCCCCTAATGTCCGCCTTAATTGGTCTGCCGCCGCCAATGAACAACTTTGGCATATTGCCTTTGGCCTACATGAGCGCTGGCGACAAATATGAGGCGTTGGCAGCGCACAGCAATGCGCTGCAGTTGCTCGCCCAATATAAGCGTCTGCAGGAGCAGCACAAGCGTGGAATATTGGCGCCCTTTTTAAACAGTTTCGAGCAACTGACCTCGTTGGAGATCAATGCATATATGGCCAACACGGCAGCTGAATTGCGGCTGAACGAATTTAAAGAATCGCTGATCAACACGAACATCATTATGAAATTGGCTTTGCAGGGTATCGATTACTATCATGGATACTATCGCAATTGGCTGCTGATATGCACCACATTCACATTCCTCGGCTGGATTTTGTATTTATATCGCCTGCTCACCCATAATCGGACAACATCAAACAAGGAAGCTAAGCAGAAATCCCGTGCGACGGTTCCCCTCTATTTAGCAGCTATGCTGCTGATTGTCTTTGTTGTGGTGCAACGTGTTCCCATCTCTGTTGGATTTTATTTGCTGCTGCCGCTGATCGTCTGGATGCTGGTGATGCGACAAGGCAACCATAGCACTGTCGCCGTTAGAGTTTACTCGCAAACATCAGTTACTCGTGGAGCACCGCCTTCCTGGGCTCAGCTGCTGTTGCTCATTGCTTGCGCGGAGCTGCTGGTCTTCACCTTCTTCGAGCGTCGTCTGATCTCGCTGTGTTTCCTTGCCTTTAATGGCTACAGAAGCTGGGGCAACTTAAAACCCAACACGCTGGAGTTCTACAAATGGCTGTTCCTGGTAATCACGCTCAGTTGTTTCCCTCTGCTACCGCTCTCGGTGGGTTACCAGAATAACTATTTGCTGCTGGCTGGCATTCTGCTCCTGTTGCTCCGTGCATTTCTGAGCCGTGAGAGGTGGAGCTACAGTTGGCACACCAAGTTGTGCAATGCTCTGATATTGATCAACACCACAGTGTGTATCTATTTGCATAGTCACCAGTTAGCTGTGCCGCTTCCACTTAAACTTTTCAGTTGGCTCTATTTAGTGTACGCCATCTTGTCCATTCATCTCAGCAAGGAGACGTCGTTGGAGGTGCGTTTGGCGCAGATTACCTATAATTTCGGAACGCTCTACGCTCTGTTGTGCATGTCATATGAGGCACTGTTTATCCAGCTGCTGACTATGGAACTGGTAGCTTCGCTGGGAGCGCAGTGTGCAGCGGAATTATTTGAGCATAAGTCACTGCAGTCATCAGTACGCTTGGCATTTACCATTCTACTCTACACATTCTTCTCGCTCTTCGGCAGCGGGAACATTGCATCGATCAGTTCGTTCGACCCAAATGTTGCACGCTGTTTCCTTAGTCACTTTGCGCCGTTTGTGATCATGTCGCTGGTGCTGCTCAAGCTCCTGCTGCCTGTGGTGCTTAATCTGGCCATTGTGTACACCAACAGCGAGTATGCCCGTCAGCAGGAACAACAAATCTTCATTTGCCTGCTGCTCATCTGTGATATCATGGGTCTCAACTTTTTATTTCTCGTGCGCAATACGGGCTCCTGGCTGGAAATCGGATCGTCAATATCCCATTTCGTTATCATGGAGGTGACGACGCTGGTGCTGTTACTTCTCGCCTATGCAGCCAAGTGGCTGCTGCGTCCGAAAAACGGCGATCGCGCTGAATGCAAACTGAACTGATATACAAAAAACGTATACAAGTTAAATATAATTGAATATTTAAATGTATTATGTATCTTAATATAATATTTTAAGCATACTTTTAGGCAGACAAATAAAAACAAATGTTTAGAATCGCAAGAATTTTCTCTGTCGAACTGCATTGAAGGATTGGGGGATCATCCAATAGCCCAAACACTTAGGGTAGTTAGGTAGGGCTGATGAAAACAAAAGTTTTAAACATCATCAGGATCCGAGCTATGAAAAGATTTCTGTTTTACATAGTCATTTTATTTAAGCCGTTTGAAAGCCAATCTTCCTTTTTATTGCATTATTTTAATCGTCATGCCAAGGACTATCTGTGCAAATTTCGTTCAAACTTTTTTGCCCTACAAATCCTTAAATAAATCGACAGCCCTGTTTTCTTCTGTGAGTTAAAAAAATGTGTCCTTTCGAGATATGGCTACACCAAAATTAACTTTTATGATAATAAATGAAACTCTATTTCGGTGATAACCAATTCAATAAACAATTTATTAATTGCAACGTTAAGATATACATTATGTACTTGATAGAGTAGGTGTAGTACTATACAAAAGTGTCATGCTTATAAATATAGAATTATTCAAAACTAATTAAAATCCTTCCATTTCTGCTTTGCGCTTGCGTTTCTTGAGCTTCTGTTTGATGTCGGGTGCTTTGCCACGGACTACAGCTGTCTTCAGACGCTTGGCCACCTTCTTGCGCTCCTGCATACCAGCCTTGCGCTTGGCCGCTCGCACCGGATCATGAATCTTCTCCTGGGCAACAGTCTTGCGGCGTTCGGCACGTCGAACCATCAGCTTGGTCTGGACAACGTTCCGCTGCTTGTCGTAGGTCTCGGCACCGATGCGCTTCCGTAGTCGACTGCCCACACGCAATGTGAGCTGGCGTAGATCCGGATCGACATTCTGATCCTCCTCGGACATCTCGCGCACGAGTGCCTGCAGTAGAGAAGGAGCTAAGCGTGCGACTGCGTCAACGCTCAACAGTGTGGAAAGTCCTTCGATGAGTGTAAACAGAGCAGTGCGCTGAGGATAAAAAGAAAGGTAACAATGAGTGTCAGCGATTAAAGAGAGTGAGTAGCAGCTACTTACAATTGTGGTGTCATGCGGTGCCTTGGACACCTCCTTGTTTATCAGTATGCGTATGTTGCGCACCAGCCAATTGAGATTTATTTTGCTGGCAGGTGGCAACTGTTCGGATTGTTCTGCGTCCGTCGGCTCCTGTTTAATGCTAAAGGGCACATCCCGCAGCATGTGTGCAACGAAAAGCAGCAGCTTGACAATCTCATCAATCATTTCCTGGGCCGTCTCACCGGGAATAACCTGAGCGCACAAGTCCAACACCAGACTTTTCAGGTCTTGTGCCGGCTGTGCGTAGATAAATTCTAATTCCTTCACATCTTCTGATTGTTCTCGTTTAACGCCCACCAACTGTTGACCCACATACGCGTAATCGTAGTGCAACAATATCTGTGTCAGCATCTTGGCTGCATTGCAGCGAACCCAATTGTGCTCGTGGCCAAGTAGACGCTGACTGCCATAAGCCAGCTCATCCACTGTGGATGCCAGCTCCGGGTCGGTGATGACTGCCTCGCCGCAATGCTCAAAGATTTTCAACAGGCAATACTGCAACTGTATCAGCTGATGATCAATGTTGCGCTGCTGTTGCTCCATCAGTGCTCCGGTGTCGAGTTCGGTCAGCAACAGATCCCCATCCGTTGCTCTACTCGATTGCTAATGGGCGAATAAAGAAATATTTATTTAATAAATGTATTTCTAAAATTGATAATTCAATTTTCGCTTACCTTATGTCGCCGTTTCTTGGGTAGATTTGACTCGTCCACTTCTAGAGGCTCGCGTCCCGGAGCCCGAACAAATTTGCCACCTGCATCCGCATCTCCTAGATTTAGGACATTGACAAGGGGGGGCAGCACCACGTGCAATCTTTCGGCAAATCCAGCACGTTCTGCTTGAACAAATCGAGAGAGGAGTACAGAGGCCAACTCACGTACACCCGGCTTCTGGCTGGACTGCGGCGAGGTGAAGAAGAGCATGGTGAGGTCGAGGAGGGGCTGACGCTGCAGCTTGTTCAGCCTTCCAAGCATCGCTTCCAGAGCAGCTGCCACAGTGCGACGGCAGGCGGTGTCCTCATCGTTGACCAGACGCGTGCCCAGCGATAGGTATAAAAACTCCGAGTGCTTGGCCAGCAATTGCAGCGGGAACTTGTTGATGAGCGAGTGCATAAATTGAATAGCTGATTGGCGTCCAGCTGCCTGCGTATAAGCCAACTGAACGGACATGAATTTCAGCAGCTGGTCGACGCGCTTCTGCAGCGTATACTCCATGATGTATGTGATGAGGATGCCACGCGACTCATCCCGCACATGGTCCGACTGCGAAATGATGGACAAATCCGCCAGACGCTTCATCAGATCATGCAACGAACGCGTATCCACCTTGCGTCCAACGAGTGCTTTGAGTAGTGTAAAGCACATAGTTTGACTGCTGCACTCGCCTTCCTGCAGCTCCTGCTCAATGTGCAACAGTAGCTGTTCGATCTGCTCCTCAGTCAAGGTATAATCCTCACACTTGCGGAGCAGGGCCACCACAGCCTTGAAGCTAGCCCGCACCAGCTGCGCATTCTCCTCCTGCCGCGTTGCACCAAATGTGGAAAAGTTCTTGAGGATCTCAAACATGCGATTGACCACCGGACAGAGCTGTTCAGTGTCCAGCTCTGTCAGCTCATAGTCACCCATCCAGATGGCCGTGTAGCACTTTAGAGCATAGGTTGTTGTCCTGGCATGATTGCTGCTCAGGGCGTCTCTCAAAAGTGGCAGCAAGGGATGCAGAAAGGGCTGATAGTCGAGATCCGTTAGCTTCTTGCGCTTGAGCACAAAGTGAAGCAGCTCCAGTCCGAATTCAATAAGGATGTGCGCATTCGCCTGTGCATTCGACTTGACCTGTTTATTTCCGGTAGTAACGCTCCTACGACCAGGCGCCGGCTGTATCAGAAGGCAATCGGGACGCGAGCGACGCATTAGAGCCTGCTGCTTGGCGCTCAACTGCCGCTTCTGTGTGCCCGGCAGCAGATCCGTAATGCTCTCCGACATGGTGCCGTAGATGAAGATCAGTAGACTCTCTCTCGCTATGTGCGTATTCTCAACCAAACCGGCCACAATCTTGGCAAAGCACTCCTGTATCTTCTGGGTTACTCGGCGGGAGTGTGTGCGTGCCAGTTGCTCCTTGAAGGGCAGCAACAGATCCAACAGACAATTGTCGCGTATGTGCCGCGCCGCGATATTCAACGTCAAATAGCTCTTGGCACTGGGTTTCGCTTCGGGCGTGTGCGCGACAATCTTATCCACCTCCTTCTCAGCGCTCACATCGCCAAAGATGTCGTTCAGAGCTACTTCGAGCAGATTCTGCAGGCACGATTCGATGTGAGCCGGCTGCAACTGACCACGCAGTGCGTCGAGCACGCCATGCAACGTCACCGATAGCACATGCACCTGGAAGCCGCGCGTCAGCAGCGATTGCAACTGTTCCAGCAACATACCCAACCAACTGCCGCCCAGCGTGAGCATAATCTTCTTCAGTATATCACGGGTTAGCATGCGTACGGATTTCAACGGCGAACGCAGGAAAGTGCACACCTTCATGAAGATGCCTGAAGATGAGGAGGATTGATTAGTCAGAGTTTATAGATATTGCATAGCAGACTACTCACCTGGCAGACAGTTGTCCAAGAGCTCCTGCGGCAGCTTCTGCAGCAATTTCACCATGGCCAGGGCGATGGGCACACGTTGGATTTCCTCCTCTTCACGCTCGTAGCTCAGGCGACGTCGATTGACTTTGTGCTTGTTGTCATAGTTGGTCTTCTCGGTGATGGCCCGATTGAGAGTGGGCAACAGAACGCTGGTAATGGTGGCCATGACGCGTTTGGCTGCATTGGGCGCCAGAGCTTGAGAAAGTTTCTGCTGCTTCAATGGTTCCTCATCCTCCGCCTGCTCTTCCTCGAAGTCAATGAGTGTGCTGTCTACGGGCAGCTCCTCTTTGATATCCTTAACCTCAGAATCCTCATCGTTTTGCTCCTCAGTCGCTGTCGTTGGCTCCGCCTTCTGCGTATCTGTAATCATCTGCTTGAGTTGTGCCTGAAGATTGCCATCGGCATTGGTCAGATCAAAGTGGAAGGCGTCCAGGATGCGGACTACCAAGCGGACGCACTGTTTCTGCTGACCATGTGCGAGTCGGAGTCGCTGAAGGTAATGCCGGAGCACGGCATGGTATTGTTGCCAGGGAAGCAGCTCACACATGACGCCTACTGACTCGATGGCCACATCCACCAGTGTATGCTTCCCGGCATGCTTCTCACTCAGCAGATACCTCGTGGTTAGCGGCATCAGGTACTGCGTGAGGGTACGGGGAGTAGGGCATGTTTGCCGCCAGCTGGCACCACCAGCAATATTGACCAGACGTTGGAGTCCACGTCCATGACGCTGTGTCTGCAAGTGCAGCATGTTCTCAAAGAAATCGATATCCGCATCATGGGAGTCGCATAGCGGTGCGAGATCACGCAGAATCTCATGAGCATCGGGACACTGGCGAGCCAGTTCTCCGAGCAGGCCGATAGCTTCATTCCTAGCGTGCTCGTGACGCTCATCGCGCAGGCAGCGCTGCAGCAACGGGAGCAATGAATCATCCAGCCAAAAGTGAAGCTCATCGGACTGTCGCGTCAGCTGCTGGGTGAGCTGTGGGAGCAGCAGCTTGAGCAACTCACCAATATTGACACGCATGCCCAGGTCAGAGACATGCCGCAGCATGTAGAAACAGTTATAGGTGACCAGCAAGCCCAGTTCCAGATCAATGACAGACTGACGACTGTCATCCTCCTTGTGCTCGAGCATCTGTTTCAGTTCGGTGAGCGCCTGTAGACGCTTGTCGTAGTCGGGTTGTTCCAACCAGCGCTTGTCCCACGCATTCAGCTGCAGCACAAAGCGAGCCCAATCCCGTAGTGATGCTGAAGCGGCGGAGAGATTCGGTTGCTCCTTGGCCTGCTTGTGCAGTCGCTTTGCCATCTCGGCGAGCATTTCGCAGAGCAACTTGCGGGCTGGCAGCACGTGAACCTGCTCGAAGAACGGAGCCAGCTGGCGCACATAGCTGTGTGGAGCGGGCACACGCTGACAGAGATTGGATAGCGTTGTGATTAACTGGAGTACTGTCTCGGGTCCCGCACTAGCCGCCTGTTTGTTGAAGATGGGCAGTAGCGTTTGCAGTAGCAGTTCACACGTGTCCGACTGATGCACATGCACTGTGAGAAGGCTCAGGATGTTCAACTCCCGCTTGTCCAGTGTTTGTTTGCCAGCACGCTTGTGACGCCAGCTGGCCTGCATCAGCTGCAGCACATCCGGTATATAAGGCTGTAAAATGGCCAGAGCAACTGGGCCGTGGGCCTCCTCCGAGCTCGCACTCTCGAGTAGTTGTTCCACCAACTGGAGCAGTGCACGACGCACCACAGACTTTGCCTTGTCGTTCATCAGCAGAGCCATCAGATGGTGCATGATGGGCGGCGAATCAGGCGTGGGACGCTGCTGCAGCCAACACTGATAGGACGCCTCACCACCCCAGAGTAGAAGCAGCTTTAGCAGTGGCGTCGGCGCATGTATGGAGTCCTGCGATAATCGTTCCAATCCAGGCCAGACAAACACCTCACAAATAGCCTGCAGCTGTGCCGATTGCCACAACTCCGACATGTCCAACAGCTGGCTAAAGTAGTTGACCAGCGTTTGTAGTGCTCCATGCCGGACATTCTTATAGGCAGCCTCCACGTGGTGGGCAGTGGCTTTGAGCACCTGTTGGGAAACGCTGCCCGCTAGAAGCAGCAGCTTCAGCACATATAGTTGAAAGTCTACGCTTAGCCTGCCTGCAAACTCCTTGCGTATGAGCTCGAGAAGATTCACAATGCGTTGCAGTTGACGTGCAGAGATTACCGCAGAGGGGACAAACTGCATCCGTACATGAGCCGGCAGCAGCTCGATCGGTTGATCTGTGTACTCCTCGAAGCGACCAAAGGCCATTTTAAGAAAACTGAAAATCTCCTGCTCCTCCAACTGGCCCAGGAAACGCAGAATGAGCGTCTTACGCTGCTGTCCACTTAATTGACGTTGACCACCTTTGGTCAGGTGGCCATAGAGCACACGAAGTATGAAGGGCATCAGCTCCTCGCGCTGCTGGGTAGCCAAAGTGGACAGCTCCAAGCCAGTAAGTATCGTCTTGAATTTGGCATCATCAATTAGCCCCGCCAGCTCCTGCTTGTGCTGCACCAGCGTTGCGGGCTGCTTGTAGGCGACTAAGCAATCCAGTGCTAGCTGCTGTAGCTGTCCATTCGAACCAGCAAGCAGCTCCAGATAGAACTCGTGCATCTCCGCCTCCCGGTGCAAAGCCTTCGGATTTGGCTGCTTAACGAAGCAGGCCAACTTGAGCTGCAGGGTCTGCAGAATGAACTTCGCTTGTGAATTGCGCGATTTTCGCTTCTGGCGCTCCTGGTTTGTATTCCGCACCCCTGCTGTTGGTGACTTCTCAACAGTTTCGTTGTTGTCGCCATCGTTATCGGCATTCACATCCATGTCAACTGAAGTGCGGATAAAAAATGTAATTTATTTTATTTAACATAAAGATGGATACACAATTTACACAGCAATCACAGCTTACCTGTTATCTCGTTTAGATTCCATGTATGTTCTGTGCACTCCAGCTGGCCACGGTACTCGTGCTCCACAAACTGCAAGAACAGACTCACCAGATCCCTATTCTTGAGTTCGGCTATGTTGCCCAACTTGGGTATGCACTGCCAGAGCAGCTGACGATAGTTAAGTGCCTGTTGCTGCGGTATCTCCTGTTGTTCCTCATCGAGGGGCAACAGAGATGTCAGGGCCTGCGAACTGAAGATGCGTTGTGGCACTGGAGTCGCCTCCTCCTTGGATGAAATGCATGCAACTGTCAGCGAGAGCTTCTGGTGGAACAAGGGCCAGAACTCATCGGTGGTCATGACCTTAACATATTCGGCGAGTAGCTGTTGCACTGGCGCCCACACGAACTTGAAGTTGTTGTAAAGCAGACCGAGCAAGAGACTGACCGCATGCTCTTTGAAGTGGGGCAACTGGGCGTATTGTTTGAACTGCGCTGCTGTCGGCTCCAGCTGTTGCAGTTGCAGCAGCAGCTCACGGTAATTGTGGACGGTGGGCACAATGCCACAGGCAGCAGCAAAGTAACCATAAGGATTGGGCTGCTGCTTGCTGCTGCTGCCCAGCAGCTCCAAACAATGCGCAGCAATGCGGCGACACTGGCGATCCGGCTGACTCAACTGCTTGGAGACAGCATTCAAAATGTCCTCGGTCAGTTCGCTTTTGGACGCCTTAAGCAGGATTAGCTGCAGGCAGGCCAAGGCACGCAAGTCGTTATCGACAAGTGGAAGGAGTGTCTGTTGCAGTTGGGCACTTAGCTTTTTGGGCAACTTAAACTTAAGCAGAGAGTGTGTTTGCAGAAGGAGCAGCAAGAGCTGGCAGTCAGCTTGTTCATCCAACTGCTGCTGTATGGCCAAGTTTAGACTCTCCTCCAGTGGTTGCTTGTTGAAGCCACGCAGATGAGGTAACAATACTATTAGCAATAGTTGTTGCTCCTCCTTCACATCAATACGCTGTATTTGTTGCTGCAAACGCTCAAAGGTCTCAGTTTGTTTTAGTTGCATTGGATATGGCTGCCAATTGGCGAGACTTGTGGCATCTACGAGCAGTGGACGTTTGTGTTGCACAATGCGCGCTAATAGCTCTAGTGCAGCGGCATCCTGATGCTCCTCATAGTGTGCAACAACATGGGGCAGCACGAGGAGCTCAAAGAGCTTATAGTCCAGCATTTGAAGGACGAAACCCGCGTAGACTGTGCGCGACACCTGGCTAACTTGGAGCTGTTTCTGCAGCAGGCAACTGGCATCCAGTTGACTCAATTGCGTCAGCCGTGCCTGCAAGAGGCTGCTAACCAACGTGCTTAGCTGCTGCAGTGGCTCCGCCAAGTGCCGATCAAGTAGCTTCAATATTGTGGGCACCAGCAGTGACAATTCCGCAATATATTTGCCATCCTTGTGCGCAATTAGCGGCAATATTAAGTCCAGCAATTGCACTGTGGCAGTCACACTAAGATCCTCTTTGGAGACAGCGACACAGAGCTGCTGCCAAAGAACAACACTTTGATCGGCGTTCACAAAATTTAACAGCAGTCCAAAACAATGCTGCACAATGTCTGCCAGGAGGGTTGTCTGTGCCTCAGTATGCTTGCCGTCTACATTGCCAAGGAGCTGAAGAACGTGTGCGAGCAAATCTCCAGCACATGTGTGGAAATGGCCGTTGACACCACGCAGAATCTCGTAGAGCAGGCGTCCGCAGCCATGGACGCTGGCGACCTGCTCGCGCAACACCGTCTGCAGCACGTAGGCAAGGAAACGTGGAAAGTCGCGCACATCTCTCGCTATATAGGCAAAGCATTCCACGGCAAAGTTCGTCACATGTTCTGCATAATGATGCTCATCCAAGAGTGGGAGAATTGCATTAAAGACGATGCCAATGTTGCGCTTCAAATACGATTTGAGTGTTTTGAACAGATGAGCAAGACAGATGAGCGTCCACTCCAGTTGCTCGGCATCCTGTGTGTTGAGCAGGCATATCAAACGATCCAGCACGCGTTGAAAATATGCATAAAACTCCTCGCGAAGATCGCGTGCCAGAACATAGAGCAGCTCCAGCAGCGGTTGCTGTGACAAATTTGTCGCTGTGGCCAAGCGCTCCAGCAGCAGATCGATGACAAAGTCCTTTTGGTGCAGCAGCTGTGGCAGGGTTACAATTTTCCGACAACGTTTGCTAAAGTCGTTGTACTCCTCAGTCAGATTGAGCACGTTCCATTTTTGCAGTGTTTGTTGAAAGTAGGTTTCATTTTCCGCCTCCTCGAGCTGTTCGTATTTATGGCCTATGTGGTAGAGTGCCAAGTGGCGCAGGTCAATCTCATTGACGCGATCTGTAAACGATTTGAACTACAAACGCAAAATAAAATAAAAATTATCAAAATTTGAATGTGCACTGAAAAGCTATGAGCCACTTACCCGAAACGTATTTGTGTCTTTCGACTTTTCTGTTATTGCCGCCATATTTTTGTCTCTGCAGTCTGCTAGTTGTGTGAGAATAACGCGTTAAAAGCACTTAATAAGTAATACTTATTAATTTAATTTACTTTTTGTCTGCAACACGTGCGCATTGTTTACAAAATTGCGGAGAAGAGAACTGTTAACAGCGATTGCACTAACAACTGTATGAAACGATAACAGCTGTTATTAACAGCAAGCAATTTTTATTTGGTGGACAAATGCCGGTAATAATTCTTTAAATCACAATGTACAAATTTCCTATAAATAATAAAAATGCAGTGCAAACTATTTTGCTTAATCTCAAGAATCAATAGTTTGGCAGTAATGACAATATGCCCAATAAATTTTAACTCAGCAACAGGTGAAGTCTCGAGTACTATCGATAGACTTCATCATGAATTCGTTTAAATATCGATAAGCTGTTCCAAACTAGAACCATACGAACGATATAAATGCTCTGGTCACACAAGAAAACAGTAACAAATTTTACCGCACATTTTAAATATAGGCGGCAACTTGATAAATTTGTATAAAATCATTTTTATTTTCAATAAAATTTAATTTAAGAAAAATTGATTTAATGCATTTTTATGCAGACTCCTGTGCTTGCCGATAATCATGAACTGTGCCACGTTCGACAAACTTCTGTGTGTTTTCATTGGATGACACTTCAACTTTGGACGCGTCATCGATGTGTCCATATCCACCGCCACCAGGTGTTTTCATTGCAAATGTATCCTGTAAGATATATAAAATATGGTAATATTATATTCTTTAAATATGTATGTGCTGGCCTGCACTCACCCCCGTCTCAACATCAATACAGGTCTTGCCAGCGAGGGCAATAACTCTTCCATCATGCTTAACAATGAGATTGCGTCCACGCTTGCCTGATTCTCCGCCAGCGAGACCATACGGCTGAAGTGTACGACGTTCAGTGAGAACGGATAATGTAACCGGCTTGCGGAAGAGTAAATCCCGTTCGACGCCCTCGCCTCCAAGGAATTGGCCACGACCACCAGAGCCATCGGTGCGCAGACAGAAACGCTTCAGTATCATGGGATAGCGTAATTCCAGAATCTCCGGATCAGTAATACGAGTATTGGTCATATGTGTGTGTACACCACCAGCACCATGCCAGCCCGGACCAGCACCCGAACCACCAGCAACGGTTTCATAATAGCCCCACTGATCATCGCCAATGGTGATGTTGTTCATGCAGCCCTGGGAGGCGGCACAGGCCCGGAATGCCTTCAGCACCGTGTCCACAATGCGCTGTGAGGTCTGCACATTGCCACCAACAACAGCGGCGCCTTCTGAAGGATCCAATATGGAGTTCTTGGGTATCACCACCTGAATGGGCGCCAGACAACCTTGGTTAAGTGGCACATCGTGTCCCACCATGCAACGGAGGCAGTAAATGAGAGCCGATAAGGTTATCGCACGTGGAGCATTACAGTTGCCCCAAACTTCTTGACCGGAGCCGGTGAAATCGCACAAGGCCGATCCGTTATCAGGATCAATGGTGACTCGCAGCTTAATGGGTGAGCCGTCATCCATAAACTCTTGGGCTTCGAGCACAGTGGAGCCGGTCCTCTCCAATGTATCCTTTCCGATTTGGCGTAACATATCGCGCACGGCAAGCTCGGCATTCTTTTGTATATGCGTCATGTAGGCTTGGACGACATCCAAGCCATAGCTATCAATCAGCTCCAACACCAGGTGAATCCCCTTATGATTGGCCGCAATCTGCGCTTTTAGGTCGGACAGATTATCGCTCAAATTCCTTGTACCGACAGCTCCTTTAGCGTCCGTTGGCGTTGTCAGACGTTGCACAATCTGCTTCTCCTGGAATACACCATTCTCCACAATGAGGAACGACTTGAAGGCGGCGCCCTCCTGGGCCAAAGATGTCGAGTGCGGTGGCATCGAGCCCGGCGTGATGCCTCCTATGTCCGCATGATGTCCACGCGATGCCACAAAGAACACTGGACGTGGTTGGCCTCTGTGTAATTGGATGAGAGCTATAAATTTGAGCATGATAATCCTAAAAAGATGAATTACTTACTCATAAAACACTGGTGTAATAACTGTCAGATCTGGCAAATGGGAGCCACCAGCTTGTGGATGATTTGCCAAGATGACATCGCCATTCTTTAATGTGTCTCCCCGCACGCGCAACTGATACTGCACCGTCTCCTGCATGGCACCCAGGTGCACTGGAATATGTGGAGCATTGCTCACGAGACCACCATCCGGGCCAAATAGTGCGCAAGAGAAGTCCAGACGTTCCTTAATGTTAGTTGAAATTGAGGTACGCTGAAGCACCCTAGAAAAGAAGACTTATGTTAATCATCCACTCGACTGCTGCTTAAAGTTAGAGATTTACCTGCCCATCTGCTCGGCGATGCTCATGAAACGATGGCTAAATATGCTCAGATGGACTGGATCCAATTCGGCATTGATGCCATGCTTGCCACTGGTTTGCACATTCATAATCAGATCACCATAGCTGGTCACATGGACGTCACACTCGGGCTCCACGATAATCGTGGACAATTGATCGATGAGCACAGCTGGCCCAGAGATTTGATGACCAGCCCGCAAATTCTTAGTCAAATAGATGGGTGCATCGTAGGAGCCCTCATCAAAGTGAACCTGGGTATTCCCCTCGGCCGTTGGCGTTTGCTCTCCGGCACGTTCCACCTGCAGCTCAGGGGGCGTTTCATTCTTGCCCAGTCCTCGAATGCGTATGTCATCCACGATAATGCGTCGATTCTGCAGCACAAACCCAAACTCGGTACGGTAGCGTTCCAGGAAAGTCACCTGGAAGTCCCCATAAGCAGCAATCAGTGCTGATGCAGATTGAATTCCAGCATCAGCAGTTGGAGAGCACATCAAGGCGCCATCTGTTGCCTCGTAGCGCAAATGCAGAAATGGTTGCAACTCAATTCGTTTAAATCCTTGCTGTGCAAGCTGAGCATGACACCGCTCCGATAATGCATCTAGACGCGACTTCAAGAGCTTAGCATTCGCTTCATTGAACTCAATACCACTGGGCTCCTGCACCTCCTGGACAACATCAGCCAGAGCCATCCCGTAGGCAGATAGTACGCCCGCATATTTATGCACCACAACTTTGGCAATACCCAGATTTCTGGCTATGGAGCAAGCATGCTGACCTCCAGCGCCGCCAAAGCAGGACAGCACATGATTGGCGGTGTCCAGGCCACGGGATTGGGTCAGAGCTCGTATCGGACGACACATAGTTTCGTTGGCAACGCGAATGAAACCTAGAGCCACTTGCTCTATTGTCAACACTCGGGGATCACCGGTGACCTTCAAATGAGCATTGATATCCGACTGCAGCACACCGAACTTCTTCCTGGTCAACTCATAGTCAAGCGGTTCGCTCTCATTCGGGCCGAATATCTTTGGAAAGTATTGCGGCAGAATCCGACCGAGCATCAGATTGGCATCCGTGACGGTTAAGGGTCCGCCCTTCTTATAGCACGTGGGTCCTGGATGGGAGCCGGCTGATTCGGGACCAACAACAAATATGCCAGAGCGAAAGAAGAGTCGAGAGCCGCCACCCGCTGCAACTGTGTTGATGTCCAATTGTGGGGCTTGGATTGTCACGCCAGCCGTGGTGCTCTCAATCACGTGCTCATAACTGCCAGCATATCGAGACACATCCGTCGAAGTGCCGCCCATATCAAAGCCAATTAATGGTAACTCCGTTTCGCGACAGCCAGTCAAAGCGTAGCCCACGACGCCACCTGCTGGCCCGGAGAGTATCGCACGAGCCCCACGGAAATTCTCCATGTTGGTCAAGCCACCGTCCGATTGCATGAAGAGCACATCAACGCCACTCAGCTGATTCTCAAATCCCGACTTGAAGCTATAACGAAATATTACATATTTAAAAAAAATATTATTATCAATAAAATTAATTTAAATAAGTTATGCCGAAGAAAATGTAAAACTACGATAAGAACAAGCTGAGACACAAGACCCAAGGCAAAACACAAAATTACAATCTTGATTGAAATTCTATGTAAGCAGGTATGTCTACTTTTTTGACCTCGACTATGTAGTTAGAGATTTTTATAGTTGTTGTCATTGCCTTTTGTACTCTATATACATATGCATAGGTTTTTCCAGAGCCGTGTTTTTTTCTTTCATTAATACCATTATCTTTATTGTTGTCGCGCTATTATGGTTGTTGTTTTAGATTTTTGAATTGTTGTTCGACCAAAATAAAAAAAATACAAAAAAGAACACTCTCATAGAGCAAATTTATGAGCGAGAGATTAAGACATACAGTTAGCACGCACACACACAAGCAAACACACTCACATATATATATAAATATACAGTAGCATCCACTTACCTGGCTAGGTAACGATCGACGTGTGGTGTTAAATAGGCCTCCGCACAGGCTGTGTAGCCTCTGGCCACCACCCGGCACATGGGCATCGCCTTGTGGGAGAGTGTGACATGACTGAATCCAAGCTGGGTGGCAATCTCTCCAATACGCAACTCGTGCTCCGGACAGGCGTAACTGTGTGCCAGCACCACGGCCACTGAATTGATGCCTTTTTGGCGAGCGGCACCTAAGGACACCCGAACGGCAGACTCATCCACAGGCTCCACTTCAAAGTAATTGCTACCAGTAATGCCCTGCAGCACTTTCCACTGATGATCTGAAAGATAATTCGTTGGTAAACAGCTGGGCCAAAAATTTGAGGTTAACTTACTAAGCTGACAGCGTTCGGGCTGCTCGGGTACAATTCGACAGTTGACCTCGACGACAGTCTGGTAGAGATTCGCCGGCTTGCGTATATTGAGGTCAAATATCTTTGGCCTCGCCTGGTTGCCAATGTAGAGGAGATCACGGAAACCGGTGTTAACAACCAGGACAACTGGATCACCCTTGCGCTCGAGCAGAGCATTTGTCGCCACAGTGGTGCCCATGCGCACCCAGCCAATCATTGAGGTGTCCACCAGACCCGCTGCAGTCAGATCTGCGCCAGTTTCCTGTGATCAACACCTGCCCGATTAATTTATGCCATTAGCTATAGCTCTATACCTTGATACCTCTTTCAGTATGCGCCGTATGCCTTCACGGGGTGCGTCACTGTAGCGTTCGGGATCTTCGGAGAGAAGCTTCATGGTGCGCACTCGACCGCCGGGACAGATGCAGAGAACATCGGTAAAGGTGCCGCCGCGATCGATAGCAAAACAATACTTGCCGGAGGAGGCCATTATTCAGTCCGTTGCGTGTATATGTCTATCAAAGCAGAGCGATCGTCGCTAACTGAACGTGTGCCACAATTTCTATGCATATTTATACTAGTTTTTGAGCGCAACTCTGTCTCTCTTGCTCTCTATTTAATATTTGTTGTTTTATTTGCTTGCTCTGCTCTCTGTGTGGAAAGATTTATATATGTGTTTCTAATGTCAGTTGTAATCTCTCGGAAACTATATAATGATAGTGTGGCGTGTGTGTGTAAGTATTATGTAAGTGATACACACATATGTGTAATTCATTTGTTTGGTGGGGCAACCTAAATATCTTAAATAAAAAGAACATTTTGCATATGTCAGTATTTATATATGATTATGTGTATGAGATTTATTCTAGTCACTTTATAATTCATGTTATCATGAGCAAACTTGACAGAATTGACATATTGCCTTGCGTTTAGCTTTGCCTTAAGCTATGTATTTGATAACAGTTTTGGGCCATATCTGACTGTTTTACACACCTCTAAAGCTATTTTTTGTTAATTCTGCTTTCTTCTATGTCAATATAATAAGATGTGTGTTATCCAAAATATCTTTGTTTGTATGCATGTAAGTGTTAAAAGTGCAAATAAATAACTAGAAATTGTCACGCCGAAAACAGCTGTTTCGATACGTTCCGTAGAAACGTAAACAGAGAGCTAAAAGCAGAAAAGAGCGCAACACTCTCCCTGAAGGTATTAGTAAAAGGAATACAATCGCATATTCGTCATGTCGGTGAGAGACCTTGTCCCATCAAATTCAATGACACTCTCTTAACTGCTGGCACATTTTGAGATATCTTGTAGTAGGGCGGAAGCGGGGATCTGGTCAGCCATAAGTAAAATATTAAGTAAAAAGCAGTTAAGATCGTTGCAAGAATATACATGCATTTATTTATGTAAAACCAACGCCTTATTGTAATCGGTTATTTGGTAGTTACTATGACTGAAGCGAAGTAAACAGCTTTTCCAGCACATCTTTCAGATCGATGGCATAATACAACTTTTCGAAATCCTCCACACGATCCTTTTGCATCGTTGTCAGATGATCCAACAGCGTGGTTAATATTTGGTACAATTTCTTGGCACGCAAGAAAGAAAGCTCCTTCCATTTGGCGCTGGAGCCAAATAGCTTCCACAGGCAAGTGACTACCAGATGGTGTTCCACGTAGGAGTCCTGCACAGGTTGTGACACAATCTCTTGCAATAGATCCACGAATTCGCCCATGTTCGGCAACTGCATTCGGTTGCCATTAAAAAAGCACATGTTGCGCACAATGCGGAGGCAGTAAATCCGCCGACAGCTCAGTGGCTGGGAGCGACGAACGGTATTGAGAAGCAATCCGAAATGACAGATCTTCGAGCCGGGCTCGTAACGGGAGAAGACCTCCCAAAACATCAGCCAGTAATTCTGTAAAAGCGGCGGCACTTTGCAACCGCCGCATGCCTGCAGAATCGTTTTGAATATGTTCTGCACACGCATCTTGCTCAGACACAGACGACCCTCGACACAGGCGCAGCAGTTGATCATCACACGCAATGCGCAATGGCACATTTCAATAGGATGGTTGAAAGTGGTCGCAATGCGAACCATCAGATGAAGCTGCGACTTGGAATGTTTGGACCAGACCTGCGCGGTCTGTTTGCACATTTCTAGGGAGCACTGGGTGAGCACCACCGTCAGACGCACGGTCATGTTCATCAGCTCCAACGAATGCAAGAGCCAGGGCCACAATTGGTGCAGCACACGCACTATACGTGAAGCCATCAACGGATGCGTGATGTCGGCATGTGGCGCCGAGTGCCACGTGAGCAGCATGTCGAGCAGCGGACTCAAATTTAACAAAATGCAATTCGCCTTGTCGGCACCCACTCGCTCCATATAGACGGTGGCATTGAACACCTCGGCATCAAAGAAGAACCCCTCAAGCAGTTGGATAACGCGCTTCAGCAGCTTGTAGCCAGCCTTGTCTGCCATGTCCGTCGCTTGTGGCGATAGCTTGAGCAGCCGGCCGAGCGCTTCACAAACCTGTGTACTGCCTGTTGTGGGTGTTTCCAGGAAGCTGTATTTGCCCGCCGGATAGTACAGCTCGAAGAGACTGTCCAGACGCTGATAGAGCTGAATGGTTGCGCTCAATTTGGGCTTCGATTTGCTTGCTTCTTTCGTTTTTGTTTCGTTTTGCTTTGCCGCCGGCATTAAGCTCATCATTTTTTGTTGTTGGCTCAAAGTATTTGCAGAATTTCTCTCTTTGTCACTGGTGTCCATGTCCTCCTCCTCCTCATTAGTTTCGCCTTCATATTCTACAAACATGTCCAGCACATTGATCGCCATAAATTTATTTTGTTCCTTGCTCAGCAGGAACAATATCGCTTGCAGTGTATAATACTGCACAGCTCCATTGACACGATCGCTTCTTAGGCCACGAAAGATCAGATCAAGCAGCTTAACGGGTGGCTCGGACATCGTTGAAAAGAGATTTTGATATGCGTAGTTATCCATTAAGAAAACCATTAGCAGCTTAAGCAGTCCAGTGTGATGATTTTCCGGAAGCGGCGGCTGGGTCTTGAGATAAATGCATATCAATTCGTAGTAGTAAAAGATGAGCGTGTCCTGATAGATGATGCGCTGTATGAACTGGCCATTGTGCTGATAACATAGGGCAAAGAGCTGGCAGATTTGGCCAGCGCACAGATTCATGTACGGTGTGAACATTTCGCTTGTCAATGGTATTTGTAAAACATTGCTGAGGGCGTTGAAGAAGGCGTGCTCGCAGAGAGTGAGACACCAGCGTGCATTCAGGAAGATTAGGCTTACGCATATGCTCACATAGCAGCTGATAATCTCGGACGAGTGCATTGCCTTAGATCTATCGCAATCGAATCTGATTTTTGGTATCAAATGCAGTGTTCCAACTGCCAGTTGTGCCTCATTGAGAAACGACATTTGCTCCAACAGGCTCTCGCTGAGAGCGGCGCCTATGTGCGGCATCAGCAGCTCAAACAATCGTCCGGCAATCTCACGCACCAGCATCACCTCATGCTTGTCCAACAGCGTGCAGAGGCAACGGGCGGCCAACCGGCCAGGTAGAAATTGATGCAAATTATTCATAGTGCCACACAATTTGCTACCGCTGCTCTTGCACCAATTGGCCAACGCCACCCAGGCCAGAGCTCGTACCTCTCTATCGCAATGGCTGCACAGTCCAATCAGAAAGTGCAGCACTCTGGTTTCGTTGCCAATCCCGCCAGTGTACGTAGGCTTCAACTTCGAGTTTGCCTGCAGTTGACAAATGACCAGCAGACAGTCCCTTTGCCACTGGGCTCCAGTGTGTGTGTTCGTTCTCAGATTGCTAGACAGCTGCACAAAGTGATGATAGTAAGACTATAAGAAGAGAGAAAGAGACAGAGAGAGAGAGAGAGAGAGAGAGAGAGAGAGATAGAGAACAAATGTTAATACTTAAACTTTAATTTCCATAAATTAAGTGCAAATAGTGTTTGCTTTCTTAGATTAGAAAATTATACTATCTTATTGAAACGAGAATTCAAATCCCAAACTTCAAATAGCCAGCTCTTGTTATCCCTGAGGTCAGACAGACGAATCTGCTTTCAATGCTGATCATGAAAGTATATACTCTATGATGTCATAGATACTTCCTGCATCCTGTTACATACATGTGCACAATATCAGAAAGTTTCACATATCCACTTATCCTTATCGTTATGCTCACCTGCAGTTGGGTTTCATCTAAATGCAATTGCTGTTCGCTGAGCTGCCGCAGGATGCTTAGAAGACAACGAACTCGCTGTAGATTACGTTGCTCAAAATTGGCGCGTGCCAAAATGCTCAGCTCCTGGAAGAGTTTGGTGTGCCAATTGATATTGTTCTTCTTGTTGTTGTTGGCCTGGTGGCATGGCGATGAAATAAGCATCACCAGACATTCGGTGACCAGATGCAGCAGATTCAGAGAGACGTTGCTATCGTGCAGTATCACAATGAAACTGTGATCCGGATGGCTTTCGAGTGCATCGTTCAAACCCTGCTGCACCTGAGGCAAACGATGACGCAAACAGTTGAGGCAGAGTTCCAACATGGCGGCATACAATTTCCGATCCGCTTCGTTGATCGGCATAGAACGCAGATGCTTGTGCAGCAGCGTCCAGAGTTGGGCGCATTGATCGTGCTTAATATTGCCGCGCAGATGGATCAGAAATAATTGAAGACTGAGAACCAGGTATTGCAGCGATTTGTGACTGCTGCAGTTATTTGCCTCCTCGGTCAGCAGGTGTTGCAACTGCCGTTGCACTTGGGTGGCATGCACCAAGGCCAGATCTGATGGTTTCAGCTTCAGCGACTCAGCAATGTCAAGTTCCCGCATCGTGGACAGCGTCAGATTATCCGCACTGTCACAGGCGCATTGGGCCAGAAATAGACGCCAATATTGTGCTTCAAGCGCCGCATTGCCCACAAAGTGATTGTTCAGCACAAGATCGTGCATTATAAGTCCTTGTGCGGCAGTTGTGGGCGACACGCTCTCGTTCAGCTTATAAGTGAACGGAACCGCCATTGCCGAGAGATCCACTAGGAGCTGGATGCTGTGCTCTTTTGCGTCAATGTGCTCGGGAAAGAGCAATAGGAATAGGCAGGTGCTCGCCTCGGCACGCATCTGTTCCGATTTGGGCAGCAGAAAGAGGCAGCGCACCAAATAGATCAGCATCAGCGCCTCGTCGGCAAAATCGAGCCGAATTTGCTCGCTGCGAAAGAGCGCACGCTGCAGAATACTCACTGTCGGAAGCAGCAAGTCCGCATCATCTTCCGCTCTCAAGAAGATGGCATCTAGTTGGGCCGAGAAGGTGGCGGCAGTCAGCCAATTGTGCATCAGGATATTCATTTGAATGAGCGTCGATTTGTAAATGCTGTTCTTGAGATGGGGCGTCGCCAGCAGACGCAGCTGCACCTCTAGACTCTCAGCGGATGACTGATCTATGCGATCATTGAATACGTTGGTGTACTCAATGGGTGGTTTAATCACGCACAGATCAGCACTTAACGAGTGCGCTTTCAGATCAGCCGTCGCTAGCCCAAGTTTCTTCTGGCTGTCCAAGAAATTGAGAATGAAGCCCATGCGAATTAGGGCAGAGGTGCGCATATTTTCATCCGGATAAAAGAGAAAACAGATGTTACCGCGCAACGTTTGTGTCTTATCCATATATTCGTCAATCGGTCTTAATAGCTTCCACAGCAGCGGTTGCAGTTGCGGCTGATCGATGGCCCGACAAACGATCAGCGGCATCACAGGTGTCAGCATCTTGTGGACACTGGGAATTTCCTTAGCTGGTATTGGTTCGATGAGACCCAGCAGCATCATTAGGTACTCAATGCACCACTCTTTCAGCTCCGGTCCCAGCGACGACCGCCATCCGACGACGAGCAGTTCGCGCAACACATGCGTGCTCATCGGCAGACCCAGAATGTGCTGGCGAATCAGCTGTATATTGCTGCAGTCTGGCAAATAGTTCGTCCCATTCATGAACGCCTGATAGTGTTCGAGGACGGGCTGTCTTAGCAGTTGCAACGCGTAGTTCCGCAATTCACTATCAACAGGCAGATTAAGGAGTGTCAGGAGCAGCATTTCCGCCTGAAGGCGCAACTCTGGCTGGGTAAGAAACAAACTGGTGCACTTGACAATTGCCTCGCAGAGCTGTTGCACCAGCGATTTGCTGCCCATTCGCACAAGCACGCAGCAAATTTCATGATGATTCATTAACAGCTCCTGTGCTTGGAGTTTGGTTTCGGTTATTAACTGACCAATTGCCAATTTATAAGCGACCTTGAGCAGCAGGATTTCCTTGAGACCAGGCTGATCTGCTTTATCCATCAGGTTGTGCAGCTTGCGCACAGCGTCCATGTGTTGTGGCACACACATCATGTAGGTGTTGTCCAGTATCAATGGTTTCAGCAATGCTTGGCCAGCCACATGACTGATGTTGGATGCATTCTGCCTTATCAGCTCCAGCAGTGATCCATTTAATATGATGGATTCTAGTCGAGGTATAATTAGCCCTTTACCCATGTTGTCCGTCTCACCGACATCGGATACATCTACGGAATTGCAATAGTTTATGAATTTGTGTGCACCGCAGGCCAGTTGCTGTACATGCAACTCTTTCATGGGAGCACCGAGCTGACCAAACGTTTCGATCACCTCCACAATCATTTCGATCGGATGATAATTCTGATTGCACTGCTCCAACTTCGGCGGATCAAGCCAGCAGGCATTCAGCAGCAGATACAATGCGCTCGAAATACGCAATTGTAATGACGACTTCACCTCCACTTTTGTGGCATAGTTGCAAATCTTGCTGCGTGCGCTGTTGCCACGCTGCATCTGCTTAACGATCGCAAGCAGTGCACAGTGAATGCGAAACTGGGTTTCGGTCGAATAATTCAGCTTCAGCAAGTCCAACAGGCGGAGGAAAATGTGCGGCGGCTGTAGCAGATACTCGACGGGATAGTCGCATACTCTAATTTGTAGATTAAGCAATTGCTGCTGCAACTGCTCATCGTTATGACATGATAGACTATCGACAATGGTGGCCATTGTGGCGAGATCGTCTTCGCTGGCGCACGACCAAGCCGCTTCATAGTCTTCAACCTGCAGATTGAAGGCATCAACCGAAAATTCTAAATCGCTGCCGAGCGAGTCATCTGGAAAACAACGAATGAAAGATATTAATTCACATCCTGAAGAATGTGTAGAGCAAAATGGTTTAAATACAATTCAAACATTATTTTGCAACATTTGAACTCCGAGCGAAATAAGAAACGAATAAGAACGATACCAATATATTTGCTACCAGTGTAAATATGTATTTATGTATTCTCATACCTAATTTTTTGACAAGCAGACTCAAACTTACAAAATTAACGGACTGTGGTGAAATCTTATTTCACCACTACTTAAACATGCAAATATATATTGTGTTGGTGCAAAACGTCTCCTTCACAATTTGTGATACGGTTAGAATACCCTTTGCAAGGACATTGAAAGAATTGAACATATTTTCGTTTATATCACACAAAAAAAAGTTTTTGTTTTTGTGGGAGTCGAAATTTGACAGTTGGTTTACACATTTTTCACTCACATGAACTGGAAGATATGCAATAGGTAAATTCAATCATGCCAAATAAATCGCCCAGTAGATCCATGCAACGTGTTGCCATCAGATTTGCAGGGATTGCAAAACACTGCAAACGTATTTTGAGGAGCTCTTTTTCCAACCGTTGTAGGGACATCTTTTCAGGAATCACCTTGCCGTACCTGGAGCGCATTAGTTCGAGCATCAGGGCGAGGATGCGATCGGGGTCTGCCAGTGGAGTGAAACCGAACCAGCGTATCAATTGTCTTAACAACAACATCGGTTTAATGGTGATTGCGTCCTCATAAATTAGGCAGTGTATGAAACTTGTCTCAATTTGTTCAAATGCGAGCATGCGAATTTCTGCCGATTCGTTTGTCAATTTCACCAGTTGTTCGTTACCCAGTGAGGACCTCTGTTTCGATAATTTCGACATTCTTTATCTGCTGTATCAGTAGCTAATTCAAACTTTGTAAATGGTTAGAATAGTTCTGTTTGGTTACTTTTCATTTGTTTCCTTTTTGCACACAAACCACTTCCTGTATGTCAAAAAATCGCTTTGAAAGCACCGAAAATTTTTGCGCCAGCATTTGAAGCCGCCATTTATTATTTGACGCCCTTGCCGTTTACGTAAGCAGTGCTGTTATTTTACATAACGCTCATTGTTGCGTTTATGTTGCGCAGTTATGTTAAGATCTACAACCAGTGAAGCAGTTACAACATTTAAAAAGTAAAGCATTTTGCATCAGCAATTTACCGAATAAAATATAAATGTAATATGTAGATATTTTGGTGTAGCTCCCATTACATATATTCGAAATATATAATCAGCAATTATTAATGTTAGACGATTTTTGCTTTATTTATGATAATTTTAGTAGGGGCAATTGACTTCGGAAGGAAAGTTACAGATTTTAGAAGTATTGTCGAAGTAGAGTCCTTCACCGCATTGAAAATCGTAGCGGATGCCGCCGGCACACTGATAATACTTATTGCAGTCGCTTTCATGCAGGAAGTAGCCATCCTTGGAGCAATTCTCATTGGAGCCGCCGCCACCACCACCGCCCCCGCCGCCACCACCACCTCCTTCTGGAGTAGGAGTAGGTGTTGGAGTCACACTTCCACCACCACCTCCTGAGCCGCCACCACCTCCTCCTGAGCCCCCTCCGCCAACATTTTCACCCACCCCACGATTCATTGTCTTCAACAGGGGATAAGTTTCACCGCAGAGTCCACGGAAGTCATCGGTCTCAATGGACCATGTCATAGCACCACCCAAATTCCTCGAATCCACAAGTTTCATCTTGATCTCAATACTCTGGACGTTGTCATATCCAATCCATTGATTACCTTGGAAGGCATAGGGCGATTGGCTTTCGGCATCAAATACAGTTTGCCAGTTATTTTGACATATTTCATGGTAACCCATGAATCCATTTTCACGGGTCCAGGGACCAGCCGCACCAGGTCCAATGCATGCGGCGCCCGGACGATTCTGAGAACTGTCTGCCATCTGGTAGCTGTGACCATAGAATCCAATACCAAGAATCAGTTTCTCAGCCGGTGCGCCTAAGTAGCAAATCATGAGTATATGTTCAAAATTGAGTATTCACATTATGCACCTTGCCTCAGCCAATAGTCGATGGACGCTTCCACCTCAGGCAATGGGGCATTGAATCCCAGGTAGCCATCGAGTGCCATATGGAAGTCATAGGTCATCACATTAATGAATGTTAAATGCTGCGAAATTGCGGGAATATCGTACGATTGTTGGGCAGTGGCTTCCGAAGCTCCCACTGCAATGCCCAACTCCAAGCCATGAGGATCAAATCTAAAACACATTATTTTTAAACGTTCTTGAAACAAGAATTTCGTTCTCTCCTCTTGCTTTAACTCGATCTAAGTAAAAGCTTCTCAATAATTTATCAGAGTATTACTTACGCTTGCTTAATTTCTCTCAAGAGCGTCACAAAGTTGGCTTTATCTGCGGCAGCGCCACCGCGTTGTGCAGGATATTCCCAATCCAAGTCAAGCCCATCGAAGCCATGTTGTTGAATGAAGGCTAATGTGGTGGAAATAAAGGTGGCACGCTTTCCTGGATCAGCCGCCATTGATGAGTATTTGGCGGAACCCTCATTCCAACCACCCACCACAGCCAATACTTTGAGATTGGGATTCTGCTGCTTCAGAGCAATCGTTTTACTTATAAAGCCTGCAAAAGAGTATTTAGGATTATTTATATAATTGAATGCTTGCTGTGTTTACTTACCCAATCCATCATCCATATCCAGCCAGGTGTCCAGGGACCTAAACTCACCCGAATCGCCGATCCCAAAGAAGGTATAACTAATGTGGGTGCACAAGAATGGATCAATGTTGGAGGGTTCGAATTTACCTTCGCCCGGACGATAGTTGGCCCAGGTACCCCAGTAACAGTTGATTAACTCTGCATGAAATTACGCATAAATTTAGTGACTAATCTTTACTGCTCGTATCATATTATTGATATTTCTTATCTTGTATCTTATGTGCACTTACTCTTACTAGCAACTTGCCCGGGGATACCCAGGCAAATCAATGACAATACCAGACATGCGAATGATAGCTTCATGCTTCTTGTTGTGACTTTGGATTCATTATGCCTGCTGCTTTTATAGGTCGGGTACTTTTACAACCACTTATCAGTACCAATATACTATAAGCTGCTTTGATAAAGCTTAACAAATAACAATGCCCTCACATATTGCATCTGCTTCATAATCAAAAAATGCTGTCATAATTTAAATACAAATGCACTCGCTGATTAATAATACTTAATAACACTTCTGTGTTTATAAATTGTACTTAAGTAAGCGCATAAATTAAGCTCATGCCCACTTAGTTCGAATTTAACGGAGTACCTCGAGTACTTCAGTTTAATCTACCATGATCAGTATTATTATATTTATTATTGTTTATTACTGTTCGCGAACGCATTGATTAATCGAAAATGCCAAGAAAATTGGTAGTGTCATAACTTATTATTATCAATTATTTATTCCTTTTAAATATATTTAAAATACTTTAACACTAGTCAACAAAATCTAAAACTAACCGTTGCAATAAGTTGCACCACAAGCGACTAAAAACCTGCTGCATATTTTTTCTGTGACCGTGGGTCCTATTCCGCTTCGGGTCGCGAAAGCAGCTGCGCGAAGGCAACGCGTCGAAAATTTTGCAGGACATTATTTCTCTCTAGTAGGTTCTAAGGGCCTATGAATGTGTGCGAAAATATCTGCTATATTGCTAGCGGATCGCTCAGAATGTGTGCGAAGATAGCAACAACACTCTATCCTTTTGGCATGAGATGTAACCTCTTGCAAGGTGAGTTGGCTTAAATGCTGACCAATTTTGTTAACATAGCCTGCCAAATGTATGACGCTAAAGTAAAACAGTATAGTAAAGTAAAACATACATACAGATTTGTAGTAGATTTGAAATTGATTGGATTAGATTAGATTTCCTTCCCATGGTCTTAACTTTTGATTCATGGCAAAGAATCTACATTTGTTTTTGTTAAGCTAAAATTGCCATTTTACTCAATATATCACAGAAAAATCAAGCAGCAGGTTTCTAGTCGATTTCTGCTTAGTTGGTATATTTAGTCATCTCAATATCAAATACGATAGACTAGAATACTCTGAATTCTTTTTAAAAAATACATTTTGAAATCATAATTACTTCTGATTAAAACCATATATTTGGTTTACCCTTTATATAAATAAACAATATTTGATTTATTGTGGAATGCCATTATTATGTTTATTGTCATGTTTTAATAATCATTATAAACATACAAAAATATATATCGTTGAAATTTACCAACGCAACTTTCTATTGATGGTCTTCAGGAGTGGATAGGATTCGCCGCAGTGACCGCGAAAATCATCGGTCTCAATGGACCACATCATGGCACCAGCCAAGTTCATCCTAAGGGCGAAATCCATTTTCCACTGCACACTGAGCACATTGTCATAGCTGACCCATTGATCTCCGGAGAAGGCATAGGGAGCTGCATTGTTCTCATCGAAGACCGTATGCCAATTGTTTTGGCATATCTCATTGTAACCCAAATAGCCACCATCGCCGGTGTACATGCCAGCACCGCCAACACCACGACATGGAGCACCTGGCCAATTCTGTGATGGATCCGATAGCTGGAAGGTGCGTCCATAACTGCCCACGCCAAGCACAAGTTTATCAGCGGGTGCACCTACGAAACTGATTGTCAGAATCAATCGGAATTTGTTTGGATTAAGATCTACCTTGGCTCAGCCAATAGTTGATGGCATTCTCGATGGCCCATTGTGGGGCATTGAAGCCAGTTTGTCCATCCGATGCCATGGCAAAGTCATAGGTCATCACGTTAATAAAATTGACATGTTGGGCAATGTTGGCTATCTCGTAAGAGGTGGCAGCTGTCGCCTCTCCAGCACCGACAGCAATGCCCAGCTCATAGCCATAAGGTGCAAAACTATAAATACAATTAATATGAGTTAATGTGAGTTATGTTCTTCGGGATTGCTATAATCTTCAGCAATTGTTCAATATTATGCCAAGGTTTGATAGAAATATAAATTGGTTTTTATTGATATTAGAGAAACGAATAAACGGATAGATACATACGCTTCCTTGAGTTCGCGCAATAGGGTGACAAAGTTGGAACGATCCTCCCATTTGCCGCCGCGTTGATTGGGGTACTCCCAGTCCAGATCCAAGCCATCGAAGCCATTGTTACGCAACAGGCTCAAAGCAGAGTTGATAAAATTCTGACGTTTATTCCAGTCACCGGCCATGTCGGAATACTTGGCCGAACCCTCGTTCCAGCCGCCAACGACGGCGAGCACCTTAAGATGGGGATTCTGATGCTTTAGGTCAACGGCCTGACGGATGAAGCCCAAATCATAGTCAAGCCATGAGTCTAGCGTCTGAATATCCCCATTATTGTTAATGCCAAAGAAGGAATAGCTCAGATGAGTGCACAAATTAGCATCAATATTGGATACATCGAATTTTCCATCGCCACTCCGATAATTTGACCATGTGCCCCAATAGCAGTTAACGATGCCTGTAAGGAAATTAGACTAATTTCTTTGTTTTTCCAATAATTGTTACACTTACGCTCTCCACTAATCAGTGCACTCAGACCGAGAATAACGAGCAGGGCTAACAGCTTTGCCATTTTTCAGCAATTTGAAAACTTGTTTACCTTTTAGCCGTGTGCTACGGTTTTTATATGGTTCACCTTATCTCTGGGTGGATGCACGTGTAGTTATTTTTATGATCTCTCATTTGAAGTGTCATAATTTTAATACATTGGCATAACTTAATTTGATTTTAGTTTATTTACTAGCCACTTTAAGCGTATCAATAAGAACAAGTCAAATAGAATTATCAATAATAAAATAAATACCTTCTTCAATAATTTATGTGTTTATAATTCGTTACCGAAGTTCATCTGCCTTTTAAGGGTAAAGTCAGCTGGTAAGCTTCTTCAAAGATTGGCATATATATTTTCCGGCCACGCACATCGCTGCAAGTTGCTTCTTTGTCACCTGGTCTTAGCTGGTATTAGAGAATTCCGTAAAAGAGTGCAAAGTTCTCATTTGGTATTGTTCAAGTACACATGGAAAATACGTTAAGATCCAGGAAAGGTCTCTACAAATTATGCTTACAATTTTCTTATAAGTTTCCAGCTCAAATCGTGTTTCCAAATTTAATCTGAAGGTTAAGCAACGATCAATAAATAATGCATTGCTATGGAAAATTGGATCAGGTTTGACAAATCTATGGCTTTTTAAATTTTTAACACAACTTTACGTGAAAAGAACTAATCTTTCAAGTGATATCTCCCATGACAGCTATTTAAAAATCTTATATAATAGCTCTACAATTGTATATATAAAAAGTCTTTACACAAATAATTAATAATGCAATTTTCGATCTCCTTAAACTTAAAGTTTATTAACATTTCCGATTAATTAAGCCAAAGTTACAATAAAAGAAAGAATGCAGTATTAACTGCTTTTCGATTACGAGATTCATCATCAACAATAAGAAAATAATTAATTTGACAAAAAATATAAATATATATAAAATATATTCACATGCCAAGCATTTGAATTAACGGTTATTTTGCATAATATTTCAAATAATTTCAGTGCGTGCGTCTCAAGGCATCTACGATGCATAGTTTTGACTATTAAATACATTTGGGACTGGAACTCCGATGCAGTACTTAGTTGGCGACATAGATCTCGAACTCCTTGTAGGCCAGCTCCTCGCCACCATAGGGGATATAGACGCAGCCGTGGGATGGCTGAACCTTGCCTACTGTCACGGTGCCATCGTGGGTGGCACGGCCAATGAACAAAGGTTCGCCCTCGGATGTCTCACCAGCGGGCACAGCAGTGGGTGGAATGTTGCCAGCTTCTACCGGAACCCAGTGACCGCCACCGGCGCAGAGGACTTCGTATTCATTGTGACCATGTTCACCACCACCCCAGGCAATGTAGGTGACGCCGTGCGATGGATGCAGCTTGCCGGGAATGAGATCACCCTCATGCCGAGCACGGGCAATATACAACTGCTCGCTGCTATCGAAGCCACCCTGCATGGCATTTGGTGGCACCTCGCCATTGGCGGCAGCCACCCAGCAACCGGGACCACTGCAAGATGTGGGCGACGAGAAGCCCATCGTTGGTGATGAGAAGCCCATCGCTGGCGCCGAGGGTGGCGCATCTGTAAATAAGTAAAGATTTGGGTTAATTATTTATGTACTTAAAAATATGAATAGTTATAACTCCTCACCATCTAGCAGCCAGGTGCCAGCGGCACCCCAGCCCGTGCAGATGCCCACAAAGTTAACGGGGAACAAGAATCCAGCATCGTAGGAGAGGAAGGCAGCTGCATCGCCCTCACGGCCCACGGTGATGACATTGTCATACCAACGCACCCAGAAGCCACGGAACTCGCCGGCATTCAGAATGCCAGGTGTTGGCACCTCAACTACATCTGGCTTTTGGCCATCCTTGCGGATGACGGACTTGCTATTATCCCATCCACCCAGGAAGATCTCAAAAATGGGTGGAGTTCCCTGTGGGGCTGAGGTGAGCGCAATATGGGCATCCTTCGCTGAGCGCACCTTGAAGGTGAAAACACCACCGCTGGCCGGGAAGAACTGGTATTCCAATTTATCGGGAGTGTTGATTTCTAACAAACAAAAAAGAATTTAATTAAAAATAAATTTTAAATGACTTTAAATGTACAAAATAGATGAGATAATTTCATAATGTTCTGAATCTTAATTTTTAAGAAAAAGCTACGTTCTTTAATTCGAATTTATTCGTTGCGGAATCTTTGAAACTCATTTCTGAATATACAAATATACCCTGTATTTGTAAAAATGTATAATAAGTAGATTTTAACGTTATGCAAATTTAGAAAAGAGGGAAATATACAACATATTTCTATAAATATATGTTTTGTTAATCACATCAAAAGTCGAAGTAGAAATACATTTATTATACATTCAATTGGTTCAAATAGACTCAATAACTAGAACAATATATTTATATATTGTTATTGTTTATTGATCGGAATATTTTCAATATTTATAGGGTATCTTCGCGTCTCCCTTCGCATTAACGAGTGATACATTCCCAAAATATTTGATATTGGGTTTGGCTTTATGTAGCAAAACAACGCATTTGGGTCGCATGATGTCATTTAAATTGACGCCGGCAGCCAAAGTATTTTCTAGACCCCAAACGCTTACTCATTCCACATGTACAGTGCCACTTGGAGCCCAGCTCCACACTGAGCTAAGCTTTATTAAGTAACCAAAACATAGATACATCTAGGTATGCATATGTTTGTGTATTTTGTGTCAATTTGTAAGCACACTCATTTGGCATGCAAAGTAGAATACACTTAGTGTGTTCTCTGAGAGATATTAGATATATGTATAATTATATACATATATATATTATATATATAGATATACATACTTATATCTAAAAGCTGTCAGCATTCAAAACTATGTTCATCTCTATATAAAAGTAGCTATAACAAACAACAGATGTATCCGCTTGGCGAATGGAAAATGTTTGCTGAAATTTCACAGCGACTATTCTGAGAATGACATCATTCTGATACACTCCGAGGTCAAGTTTGTAGCCAAGCATTGCTTCGTATTGATTATTGTCAAAGTTCAAAGTGGAGATAAGAAATTCTATTTGAATCGTGTGTGTTTTCTTTTCTTATTGAGTGACTCAGCAGCGGTGTTTTTTTTCACATTACAAAGAAGAAACACATTTAATTGGCTGCATATACTAATTAGAATAAATATTTACAAGGCGAAGTTTTTCTTTTCTGAGGTACTCTCTAGAAATCTATCGTTTTGTGTTTTCAGCTGCAATTAGCGGTCGTATTCTATAATTTGTTTGCACTGAAAAACACCTCGTGCATATTTATTGTCATTCGACTCCGTGATCTGTTTACAATGTTCAACTCATATACGTTAACGGCAATTTTACTGTTCTTTTTTGTTTTAATACTTAACAGTTTCCATTTATTTGCTGTTGTGGGCAATGATCCAATAAAAATATATAGCCAAAGTATAGAAAACTATGAAGAACATCGAATTGTGACCAAAAATTTACTTTTAAACTTTTCTTGGATGCCGGCCAAAAAAAACTAACCCAATTATAAAGGAAAGAGGAATACGGGGAGAGTTGTCGTTGCCGGCAAATTTGGGCTTGGCAATAAAAGGTGCCACTATAATTTTAGGTCAATCTATTATTCCATTTAGTATAATATATCCAATGGCAAACACACAAATAAACACAACTACAACAACTATAAAGTAACACACTCACGACTCACCGATTGGCATGATTGTTTATTTTATATTTAAACTCGACGTTGTTTGCTGACTGAGATTCTGATTCAAACTGACGTGACGAGAAATTTCACTTGCGAGGTAAACACCTGCTTCGCTGCGTGAGAGAAATAACACACGAAAAAGCTCTGCGAGAGTTGTCGCGCTCAAGAGCTTTTTAGCGTGGCGGAGTACAGTAACAGTAACAATACGAATGTGTCTTGGATCAGTTAAGGGGGGAGGGCGGAGCGGATCATTGTCGTTTATTAGTTGCTAGTCAGTCAGCAGACTGTACCTAATCACATACAAACGCTCATTTGAAAGCCTCTGAAATTTCGCAGTTAGAGCTTCTAGTTTTTTAGGGTAACTGCCGAAGATACAGTGCTTTTGTTATACAGTTTGTAATTAGTCTCGATATTATTTTGTATTTGGTCATGAGCTATATTTCAAAATAATTTTAGCAAAAGTTGATTTATTTTAGATTCTACACTAAATAATAATCATATTGGGAACTTGCTCGTAAAGGAAAAGAATAGCTACGTTATCATATTTTACAACTATGTCAAATATCTTACAACTTGGTAGACTTACTAATTTAGTTACTCTAACTGACGGTATTGACTGCTACTCAAACTTGTTTTACAGTTTGACCTTTACGTTAAGTTTCTGTGCATTTTTAATATAATTGCTGTCATGGGTTGTTTATTTACATTTAAATAACATATGTGTGATCTGTACAAAGTTTCATTAGCATAGCCCTAAAACTGGGCGACTAGGCTGTATAACACACATGAACACAAACAACAAACAGGATGGATATTATTTCTGCAACAGGTTACATATCTGTTTATAAAATTCAATTGCTTGAAGTTAGGGTAGCTTGTATTAGTCACAAGCTGAGCAGATAGAAATCATACATATAAATGGTTCACATACTCATAAAAACATACAAAAAGCTCTTGCAGATGCTTAGCTTTTCTGCTTTTGAATCGCAACCGTTTTAAATAAACTGGTGCCGTCATATGACGTTTTTATTATAATATTTGTCATGCAAATTATCTGATCAAATGGACTCGAAAGATAACGTCATGGAATGGCTCGGCACCACCAGCTTGAGCTGGTTCTGAAATATGTTTTTAAATTAAAACAGAAATTTACCTATTTATAAGAATTTAATTAAATGACATAATAATTTACTAATCTAAAAAAATAGAACATCAAATTCGAAGAATTTTATACAAATTAATTCAAATAGAATATTCCATGGCAAGTCATATTTCTATTTAAGGCTTTGCACTAAGACAATGTTGGCATTTTATAGCATAATTTTAGGCTGACCAATCAAATATGTTTACATTTTTAGACCATCTGCCACCATTTTTTTAGATCAGCTTAGAACAGCCAGCATTTTGTGTGATTTTGTGTTCAATTCAGACAGATGCTTTTAGTGAAATAATTATGAATAGAATATATAAAGATATATAATAATATATTATAATGTAAATAATAAATAACGAACACGTGCCACCCTAGAATAAGGCACTCTTGCACCTTTTCTTTCATGTTTATCACTTTTTCGATTTCTCACTTAGTCTCAGTTCGTTCTCTGCTTTAATAATTTGTTTTGCGCATGCGTTGAAGTCGTGTTTTTTGTTTTAAATATTGAAATAATAACCTACAATAATATTATCGGAGAATTGTTCATTGCAAAGATAACTAAATGCATATTTATAGCATTTGAATGAGCATATTTTCATTGCGGTGTAAGATTTAAATGTGTAACGCATTCTGATAGTATTCAAATAAAGACATTGGGAACGAGCCCCTTAAAATGCTATATCAAAATACTTCTACTAGCCAATTAAAGCTTTTGCATAAGAGTAAACAAGTCGATTAAATTTTATTGTTTTCATCATGTTGCTTATGGCGCTAAAAATTGATTGAATCTGGTTTTATTTGCATTATATTTATTGCCAGATTACTCCTATATGCAAAGTATCGTAAGTATTATATGCTCCTCTCAATAGTTCATATACACACATATATATGGAGATATATATGGACTCGAATCGATGCTCATAAAAACAACTCAAGGAATGCAGTACCTTGGGACCAATTGAATGCGGACCAGTTGAATTTACGTTCTGTGTTTTGGAATAGTAAATAACTAACTAAATTAATTTATACTATTTAATGAAGATTTCCGTTATGGATTTTCACATTTTATCATTAAATTGCGCCATACTTGAATGAGCGAACACAATTTACGTTAATTTAGTTCTCCTTCTCCTTGTTCTCCACTCTCACTGACGCAACCCGGTGGCCCAACAACCCACCAGCCGAAACCCCAACCCCCAATTCCTTCACCCCATTCTCTGCCCGAGTAGTTTCTCAATGCTCAATGCTATTGTGCTTTTTTCTCAATTGAGATTAACGTGCATTATTTCGCTAGGGAGCATTTCCAACCATTATCACAATAAATGCAAGTAAAACTTTAAAAGATAACTATTACTTTTATTACATTACACCCGTAAAAAAATTTAAATTCGATTCCAAATGTGCTTGAATTTAAGTTGTTAGTTAATAGAGTATATTTTATATTATACTCAGTATTTTTTTAAATTCAAAAACATACATTGCTTATTCGATTATGATATTTATAAGCAAGTTAAATACATACATACAAATCAATGCATAGATATACACAACATACGACGACGAGCCCCCTCTCTCACACACACAAGCGCGAACACACACACAAGCGCGAACACACACACACGAGCGTACATTCATCAAAGTCCCCACTACACACACACACAAATGTAGTTTGCACTCAGCTGAAACTTGCTTTTTGTCGCAGAATTTCGGCTCGTGAAAATGAAAGATTACGAGAATTTGGCAACTCACTCTTCTGAGTATTGCCACTGATATATAAATTTTATCATTTAATCTTTTGACTTATTGCGTCACGTTTAGTGCCACACATTTGTAGTATTTCAGCGATAATACATCGCCTGAGCATTCCCTTAATATCATGTCCGAAGGTCATTGTCATTCTATTCGGTATTCAAGCGTGCTTTAATTAACTAATATTGTTTGCAATTTTCACTCATTGTTGAGAAAAAAGCACGAGCTTTCGAACCGGTTCGCAATGACCGTCTGTCAATACAGACAAACCGGCAGCAACAGTTGGCAAGGGCACCTTGAAACCGATCCAACCCAAATGTTTATCACAACTGAATACATATGTATATAAATGTATATACATATATGATATATGTATTGTATTTATCAGAGTGTTTCACAAAAATTGTCATAAGGCTAAACATTTTGTTTGGACGAATGCGACACTCTGCCATCAACACGTTAAATTTCAACTGTGGCTGCAAATTGCATCAGCAGAGGCTACAAACGTCATTCATTGAGGATGCGAGGGCATAGGTAGGGCGAGCAGAGAGTATAGATATGTAAAGAGTAGCGCCGACTGCCGGCTACATGCGGAGTTTTGTCACGTATGACGCGTTTACTCTCTCCTCTCTGCTTTCAGCTTTCGTTAACAGTCTTGCGCACGGGGTATATTCAGTTTGTCGCACATATGTATGCACAGATGTATTCTCTGTGACATTAGCAGTTAAGTTAGAGAAGAACGAGTGTATTAAAAGCCTATAAGTATTAGTATTTACCTAACCTTTTGGGCAATCAAACGCAAAAGCAAATACGTTTATCGTTAAATTAAATATTTGCTAAAGGGCATATCCAAGTCGAGAATCACAGCTTGGCTACAAAGTTCATTATAGCTTTTTATCATAGCAGCCGTCAACATTCAATGCGCTCTTTCTGTTTTTCGTTCTCCATCGCTCTCTTTGCTCTTTGGCTCAACAACAGCTGGCGCTGCCCCAAAAGCGTGCAAACTTAGATATGCAGAAATGGCTTATGTGTGTGTACATGCGAGTCACGAGAGCGGCAAAAACTATTTATTTACATGGGGGCTACTTTGCGATCGTCGCGTTAGTCAGTGTTGTAGCCTTTTTCCAAGTGGTCGCACGCGCTTCGTTCGCACAGACAATAAAAATTGCACAGAAATAATTTTGTTTCCTGTGATAAAAGCAAAACAAACAACAAACACGTTTTATTGTGATTACAGTTTAAGTTTGCAAACAAACACATCTCAACAGTGGCCAAAGCAATCAATACGAATACAAAAAATATTTGACGCGTGGCGTTAAAATTCAGCAAAGATAAAATTTAACAAATCCAAACTCAATTTCGAGAGGAAGTCAACTAATTAAAACATATAAAATGAATTCCAACAGGTAAGTTTTACTGTCTTATTTTCTTCTTCTCATTATCGAATATGGTGCGAAATTAAATTTGCATTTGTAGTTGCATTTGCATTTGCACAACTTAGTTGCATAATTTGTGTTTTTCAAATCAAGAAAAAAAGACTGACATAGTCAGACAGTCAGTCTGTCTGTTAGTGTTAGGAGGTGCTTTCACTTTTCAACCCCGAAAAGCTTTACTGTGCGTAAAGTATGTTTTAAATCTGTGTATGAGTGCATAAGAGTGTTTGTGTGTGTATGTGTGTAAGCAAGTCTGTTTTCGCAGTTGAGTTATAAATACCCTTTGTTTTTTTTTTGCATTTTATTCAATGTTTGCGATTTTGTCTCGTAGCCATCCAAATATTTATCTTTCTCTCGCTCTCACGACACATTAAAAAATGTTGTTATTTTTGTCAGTTGGTTTATCAGACTGTATAAAATCAGAAATCAGTTCACAATCTGGCTAGACGGAGGCTGGAACGATTTATTTATTGCTGCAATTTCTGATATGAAAAGAAACGGCAGCAATGCGTTTTAAAATGCTCATAAAGTCCTCAAAATATGAAATAAAAAATGTTTCTCTTAAATATCTAATAAATTATTAAGATACATTTTTATTGACAAAACTAAATAGTGACATGTTCAGTTGCTTCTGAGTTATTTGCTATAATCGATAACTAAATAAACTTTAGCAAGCACATCAGTTTTTCAGACGTGACTAACTATTGTAGAATTGCTTGAACTGCCATAATCGTAATTGTGGATAACAGCAAATTATTAAACAGTTCAACACGTGTTGCAGTACAAGGCCAAAAATTGCTTCAATAGCTTGGCGACCTTGTAGTTGATATACCCTATAGCATTATGATTAAGAAGGGTGTCAATCAATCAAATCAAGAATGTATAATTTATTAAATACTATTCTGAATACGAGTCTCGACATATGTAGGCATTTAACTCTCTTAACCTTTAGCTTATTAGTAAGTCCCAGATAACCAAATCTTTAATTGTGCTACATTAAATATTGCTGTATATTGATAACTATAAAATATCCAATCTCTTGGTAGTTTACCATAGTAAAAGTTTTACATTGTGATATCGAAGTAGGAAGGTAGAGACTTACAGTTAAAGTCACAAAATGTGAAGATTTTGGCTTTCCTTGAAGATCGCTTTATATATTTCCCTCCAGAAAAACGAAAGGTTTCGATCATCACTAACTCTTCTGAGATTTTATTACCGATAAACTAATTTATTTATTTACTCTTATGATTCATTGCGTGAAGTTTGGAGATAAACATTTATAGTGTTTGAGCTTCCCCTTTGAATTTATTTGTCCTTTCACTCAACATTTGAGTGGAGTGGCTTTAAGCGTGTTTTAATTAATTAATATTTTTTGCAAGTTTTCACTTATTGTCAGTTTAGTTAGATAAATACAAACCGGCAACAACAGTTGGCAAGGGCACCTTGAAACAGACCTACTTCAAATGTTTATCACAGCTGATTACATATATATATATATATATATATATATATATATATATATATATATATGTATACACATTTATGGTACGTTGTAATGATCAGAGTGCTTAACAAAAATTGTCATATGGCTACAAATTTTGTTTGGACGAACAAATGCGATTCTCTGTGATCAACATGTCAAATTTCAAGTGTGGCTGCAAATTTCATCAGCATAGGTTATAAACGCCACTCATTTGCAATGGAAGGGGCAGAGGGAGACTTGAGGAGAGAGAAAATACATGAAGAGGACCGCCGACTACCGGCAACTTGCGTAGTTTTGTCTCTCTGCTCTCAGCTTTTGATGACACTGGGTTTGCACTCACTGGCAATATGTTCGAATATTCTACAATTATTCTACACCTGCCAGTTGGTTTGCCGGAGCAACGTGTCAATGCTATTGCCAGACATTATTGGCGTTCGTGTAAATACCTAAGCGAACATGTCTGGCAACATCTCGTCGAACAAATTAGAGTGGCGAGGCAGATTTTGCAAAACACTACTGCCAGTTTGGTGTCTGGCTACACCGTTGCCTCTAGAAATTAAGTACATTAAATAAATAAATTATTCGACAACGCTGCCAGTGTGCTTACACCGACAATTAGTCAGTTTTTCAGCGTTTGCAGCACATTGCAAGCGCTTATTTGCACAGGCGACAAAAATTGCGCAAAAATCACATTATATTCTGCGATGAAAGCAAAACAAGCGCGTGTTAATGTGATAAAAGTATAAGTTTGTTAACGAACAAATGTCAAGTTGCGACAACAATAGCGGACAAAACAATAAATATCAATAAAGTTCAACAAGCCAACTATTTACAACGCATAAAATGAATTCCAGCAGGTAAGTCTTATTGTTTTATATTTTGTTTTTCATTATCGAATATGGTTCGAAATTGCATTTGCATTTGCAATTGCACAATTTAGTTGCATAATTCTGATTTAAAAGAGAAAAGAAAAAATACTGGATGTTAGAGGCGATGCTTTCACTTTTCACCCTGAAGAAATTTGAAATACTGTTATACAAGCAACAAAATAAAATAAAATATAATATAAATTGCGGTTAAAAGTAAATTTAACCAAGTTATTTTGGCACATTTAGATTTTTTTTATAACTTTATAAAGGGAAAGTAAATTATTGGTGTAAATATTTCGGTTGCGTTTAAAATTGTTAGCTATGTGCATTATTTTTAGTATTTTGGCATTGGCATTCAAATTGTCATGGGCTATGCAGTCCAATTTTACATTCTACAAATATATCGTACATACTATATGCATACTTTCGTGCCAATGAACTTTTTAGACAACAGTCTGAGCACTTACCATCTGTAAGCGGAATCTGCCAACAAATTGACGAGCCAATTGATATATTTTTATAGCAATTCTAAAATCACTTCAAGCGGTAACGTAAACTGTTGACCAGTTGCATGATTTTGGGTTGTTTTGCTCAACAGCTGACCAGTTCGTCGATTTAACTTGATTAAATTATTTTATTTTTGGTCAATTTGTTGAGAATACGATGGGAACGCTTTACATGACAGTTTCTCACAATTCCCGTGTGCGAATACGAATTTATCACTTTTAATTATCTGTACAATACGATGCGATTCAAACCATGAATATCCATATAATTAATTAGCAACAGAGTTCAACAATATTTACGTAAACAGTTAACATGACTCACGCCAAAAGTCGAAGCCCTTATCACAATAACTGTTGCAGCCATATCAGCAACTGTAGTGCAATTTGACTGCTGTATATGATTACACTTTAACTGATTAAGCTTTTGAAAGAAACGCACATTTTTCAACATGGCAGTTCAAAAAGCAATTCTTGTTATAGCTTTCAAACATTTCTGGCAACAGCTCGGCGAACAAATTTGTATGGCAAGCGGCTAGCCATTCACCGCCAAAAACGTCTCTGGAACCATATGTACGTGTGTGTATACAGTAACGGCAGGGTATGGCTATCAAAAAATTCTGTTTAATATTTGTTTAAAATACCTTTAAGTAAAGGTACTTTAACTGCTTGCAGCATTTGACAGGCTTTAGATTCCAGTTAAGATTTACCTTTGCTTTTATTAAGTTATAGCTATGGAAAGTCTAGACCCATTGAACCATCGAACTATTATTGATGCTGTCTTATTAACTCAGCAATTTTTTAGCCTGCCTCAAATGACATTATTTTTTGTGCTTTTTGAAAGCGTCGTTTCATCGTTGATAATTTGCAAATGTGAAGTATTTGAAATAAAACCGAATTTAGTTTGTCAGTAGCAAAAAACTTATTGCCTACTTTTAGAGGGCGTACAATTTAGCATGCAGCTCAACAAAAGCTGATTGTTATAAATGCGCTGAGGTCAGCTACAATTTAAAATCATTGAAAATGGAGGTATTTTTTTTTTTAACCACTGAGAATATTATATCAATACGTAGAAATGTGATATATAAGCAAACTATATTCATACACATGCACTTTCCATGTGATTCTCAGTAGGTGTGCAATAAAAAATTTTAATCACGACCTGCTCTCACAAACACCTGTAGGATTTTCCAGTTTCTGTTGTTCTGTTCTGTGATTGGCTGACACTTTGGCGGTGTGTCCGCTTCGTATACGTAATCTGTATTAGAACTCAAACCTCAGCGCAACAAGTTGTTAGCATTTTAATCACTTGGCTACTGTTTATATGTTGTTTGCTTTGGTAGTATTTAGTAGTTCTAGCTATACTTAGTTGCAAGATTAAGGGCTCTCAATATAACATCTCTGACATTCATTTGTATATGATTATATATGTACATACTTATGAGAACCTGAACATTTATTTGACTAATAAATTTCTAAAAAATATATTACCTTTATCTTTATTTATAATTCTAGTTCATATTATTTTTTAAGTGTACCTCTTTTGTAGAGGGATCAATCTGTTGTGACATATATGACAGCCAAACTTGCCACAAGTTATAAAAAAGTACAAATCAAAAGCTCTCAAAGAATAATAATATGCTCAAAAGCTACTTTTCTTACTATCAGTTAACGATGCTCTTATCAAAATAGGCTAGGAACTTAAACTAGACAACGACTCACTTTCAGTCTCATCTCGTAAACGATGCTGCATAAATGAGCCTAATCAAAACCAGATTCCTATTCCAATTGGGACATCTCCGATGCGAATTTTGGGCCTTGGCTAAACGAAATGTTGCAAGTGCATCAGAGCGGATAGAAAAAAATAACAGCAGGTTCAATCACAAAGACTTCGGAAACAGGTTAGTGCCAGATATGCTAGGCTAAGCAATTATCTAATCGCTGTCAATGCAATAAACTTTTGCTGATTTAACTAAAAGCACTCGCTGGAAATATAGACCGTAATACTCATTCTGACTGATTAAGCTAGCTTGTTTTGCTCCGAGTCCGGCACAAAAATAAAGAGTTTCGAGACCTTGAGGCTTACAATATTATCACTTTGAAGTATTTGTAGCCCAA